TCATGAGTAGGGGCCGCGGCCAGAAGCTCTCGCTTCATGGCCTTGAGGCTCCGGCGAGAAACGTGAGCACACGCTCCCCCATCGACAGTGGCAATGGTGGCCCCAGGCTCTTGGAAACCTAGGTCATCATCGCCGTCATCGATGTCCTCGGCGGAGGCCTTCTGCTTGGCCTCACTTCGCCGATTGCCGGAAGGAACCGCCGGGGACTTGCCCTCTCGGCGCTCCTGCCTCCTCTCCTCCTCCCACTTCCTCGTCCGCTTAGCCAAACTTTTGACTGCGCGGCAGTCCGCGAGGTCGTGAAGGGAGGTGTTGTGGACGATGCACCACTTGCCGGTTGGGCGCTCCCTACTGGGAGCGCCGGCCTCCTTCTTTTTGTCGCTCGCAGGCCTCCCCTTTCGGGTGGCCCGCGAAGCGCCCTCGACGGCGAGGACATGACCCTCGTCGTCGGAATGGGCTGACCTCTTCTTCCTCCTCCTGTCACGCCGCCCTGTCCGAGCAGCGGATCCGGGGGCGGCCGAAGCTGCCACACCGGAACCGGAGGGGTTCCAGGTCCATGCTTCTTCCTTACGAGCCACTCGGTCCGCGAGCTGAAAAAGCTCCGCGGTAGTCTGGGGCTCTTTGGAGGCGATCTTTTCGAGTATGCGGTTGTGCCGCACACCCCCCCTGAACGCGTAGATCACCGCGTGTGCAGGGATGCATGGTATGGTGTTGCGGACTTGACAGAACCGCTGAATGTATGAGCGAAGTGACTCATCATCCCTTCGCTGGACTGCATGTAAGTCCGCTTCTTCACCTGGGCGCGGATATGTGCCTTGAAAGTTCATGGTGAACTGTTGGCACAAATCCTCCCAAGAGTGGACGGACGCGGGTGGCAAGTTCATTAGCCAACCCCGTGCCTGTCCCTTCAGGGCCATGGGAAAGAAATTCGCCATGACCCTGTCGTCACCCCCGGCGGCCTCGATCCCGGTCGTGTAAACCTGGAGAAACTCGGCGGGGTTGACGCTCCCGTCATATTTTTCGGCGATGGTGGGCCGGAACCTTGGGGGCCAACGGACGTTCCGAAGGCTCGCCACAAAGGCTCTACAGCCGACACCACCAACCGGGGGCACGGAGGGCTGATCCCCGCGTCCGTGTTGATGTGACACTCCGGACGAGGAGGCGCCCTCCGTTGCGTGGGCAGCACGCCGGCCATTACGCCGGCGCTCGATACTGATGCGGGCATCCGGCCCCCCACGCAGATCTTCCTGGGTCGGAGGCGCTGACGAAGGAGTGGCGGCTGAATGGCGAGCAACAGCCGCCGCTCGCCGCGCCCTCCGCCTTGACGACACGGAGCCGGTGGTAGCAGCGCCAGAGGTCTTGGTGGCGGAGGACCGCCCACCAGCACCTAGGCGCTGCCGTGCCGTCATGACCAAGTTGGCCACGTCGTCCAGCCAACGTTGGGCTGGAGACTCCGGGTCAGGGACAATGGGCGGGTGACGTAGGAGCGCGCCCGCAGCTTGGAGCGCGCCCTGGGGCGTGCTGCCGTCGCCGTAGACGAGGAGGCGACGCTCCCCATCTCGCCGCCCTTCCCCATCACCCGTGGATGTCGAAGTCGCGGATCCTTCGACCCTCTCGAGCGCCTCCTCCCGCCTAGGACTTTGGCGTGGAGGGGGCGGTGGAGTACGAGCTCGACGGCGTGGGTTCAGCTCCCCGTCGTCACCGCTAACACTCGGAGAGAGGTTGTGCGCCTTTGCTTGTTCGGCCATTGGGCTGAACAGGAAAAGCTTGGCGCACACGAAAGAATGCGAGAGCTTAGAAAAACACACGCAAAGCCCCCTACCTGGCGCGCCAGATGACGGAGCGTGGGGCTCCTCACCGGGAGACCGCGCAGGCCCCCCTTTGCCGGTTCGGCCGGGGGCCCTGGGTGAGATTCTAAGCTCCTAGTCTGTGTGTGGAAGGTTCGCGAGAATGGAAACACACAAGACACGGGCGATGTATACAGGTTCGGGCCGCTGAGAAGCGTAATACCCTACTCCCGTGTTTTTGTGGATCTATGTATGAAGAAGCTACAAAAGAGCTGGAGAACCAGAGAGCTCTTACTCTCTCCCTCTCTGATCGTTCTGGCTCCGAAAATCCATCCCCCTTCTAAGTGGGCAAGGTCCTCCTTTTATACCTCAAGGGGATACCACATGCCCCATCTCTCTCTTTTTTGTGGGGACTTATCCTATCTTTTCATAAACAGACGGAGACTTGTATGGTTGCCGTCCGAATGACCTTCTGATGGGACAGCCCATACCTACCTCCACTTCCGCCGGAAGCAGGCGCGACGTGGGAACATGGCTGTCTGCTGACGACATGATCAGTGTCAGACCGGTCACAAATCGGTCATTCTTGTCCACCACGCGTCAGTTTATCAATCTGCATGTTCGCCCCTCTTCATACAATGTCTTGCTTGTAATGGTTAGGATGAAGCCTGGTATATATCTGACCGGGACCAACGTGCCATCTCCAGGAGCTAACACGCCGGCTCCGGCTAGGGACGAGTGCTTGGAGGCTCTCATCCTGACGGGATGGGGCGAGGCGTGCGTCAGACCGCCTGTCGCCACCTAACCCACGATCTGATCGGTCTGTGACTGGTCACAGACCGGATAAACGAGCGCGCTGCACTGCGTTACATGCGGCGTGACGCGCTCGTCCAAACCGCAATAAATGTGGTTAGGTGAGCCCCGCTATGCTCACCTACCCCATATACGCGGCGCAAAACCCACAAGGGGTCGGGGCGCCTCGGCCCTCGGGGCCGAGACGGGAGCGGTCCGACCCCTCGGGGAGACAAAGAGAAGGGCGGTCGTATCACCCTCGGGCCCGACTCCCCCCGAGGGGGTTAGGCCACGTGGGTGATCGTGTCTGCCTCAAGTCTCTAAGTCATGATACTCCCGGTCCTATGTCACCGACAGAGTAACTCTCAAGTTGTTGAGTTTGAAAATATAAAAATTATATGAATAGATTTGTCTTGAAAAATACTTTCATGAAAGTATACATATATCACTTTTCAATAAATATTTTCATAGAAGAAAGAAGTCAAAGTTGTGTTTTGGAGACCATGTCGCTGTCCAAAACGACTTCCTTTATGGGCACGGAGGAAGTGTTTAAATAGATGATGGGTAGATATAAACACGGAGGGAGCATTTAAATAGATGATGGGTAGAATTACTTATCCTTAATTTGTGTGTCAAAATAAAATATAACTATCAAAAGTAGATGGAGGAAGTATTTAGTTTCTTTTATGTAAAGGCCGGAACTTTAATACCAAAGACTATTCATCGGTCATCTAATCTTTCCTAGAAACAGTCGATCTATAATCAGAACTGGATATTCAGTGCTTGCCATTTGCCTGCCCCTGATAACGTTAATTTAGAGCAAGTTTAATAGCATTGCTAACTACTAGCTCCAATTCATCTATAGTCAATCTAATAGCTCATTCATATAATAGTTACATACTAAACTATTAATACTTGGTCCCACCTATCATACACACTGCGTCTTGGAGTTCGTGCTACAGCTGACTATAAATCTGTAGCCCGCTGCTTTTCTCTCTTCTCATTTATCTCCTTAAAATATTTTTGTAGCTGGCTTATAGCCTGTTATTATACCTGCTCTGAGAGCACCCGCAATGGTAAAGTAATGTGCTCTCTATAAAACATGTACATCTCAGCAATAGACTAGATTAATAGTAAACCACCTCAATAGTATGTCTACATGGGTATCTATAACTCTCTCATGCATTGCCTCGTTTTTCTATATAGACTATCTCTAAGTTAGTAGATAGCTTTGCTCTCTCTTTTCATTTAATATCTTCCAAGTAAGAAAATATGCTGATATGGATCTCTTATAGAGAGCTTATAGATAACTATTGTGGGTGTCCTAAGAACGGAAGAGTAATTAAGAGACATGTAACCGGGCCATTTCCCATATAATAAAGGCACCAAGCATACGGATGGAGTAGTACTCTCTCTAGTCTTAACACTGGCAAGAACATCCTGCCCGCCGTTTCGGCCTCAAAGCCATGGAGATCGTGATCGTCGCTCCGTCCATTTTGCTTTCGCTTCTCCTCGTCCTTCACTCAACCGCCGCCGCGCGCTCTGCTGCCATGGCCCCTGCCGCCGCCGACGAGCTCGCGCCCTCCGCCTTGGGCCCTGCCGCCGACGAGCACATTTCGGACGTCTACATTGTCTTCGTTAGCCGCGACGACTACGTCGATTCGGTGGACTACGACGTCCGACTGCTCGCCTCCGTCATCGGAAGGTCACTGCTGCTCACTTGCTCCGGCGTGCACCGATGCACAGAAGACAACCTTACTTTAGTTCCCCGTCTTTCAGAGAAAAAACGGACTCTTTACTGACGGTTTCCCGATTTTCTGCTACATATGTACAGCGCATCGGAAGCAAAGACGGCGATGATCTACCACTACAGCGGCCTTGGGTTCGCGGCGAGCCTCGCACCAGAACAAGCTGAGAGGCTGTCAAGTGAGTGCCTTCTGCTGTAGCTCTGTATGCAGAGAAGTGTCAGCGAATTGGATCGACAGTTTCCAGTTGTTGTTATAAGCGTTGTTGTATTCCAGGGAAGGAGGGCATTGCAATCTTCAAGGACAGGATGTACCATGTCGAGAAGGAAGAAGATGGTCGCTTGCCTCGCTTCTTTGAAGAGAATGTCTGACGGACAAGGAAGTTTACTCGCTACGAATTAGACTGGGAAACCATGATTCAGTATACTAGCACGATCTGAAACTAATTATAAAGCTGTGGGCGATTTGCTAATTAGCTCATGATTATTCAAAATAAGTTCGTTCCTAAACTCGCACAACGTATATACTAGTAGCATAAAGCGTTGGTTTTGTGTATTGACGGGCATGCTATCCGAGCGAAGGGTGGGTTAGTAGGAATCAGTGCGAGCTCCTGTGGATGGACAACCAGGCGTACAGCAATAGAAACCGTCATAGCTTATAGCAAGTTTAGGAACGTTGACGAGAAACTGGACGTGGCCGTCTCGCTTTTTTATGTTCGTTTCTATGAACTTACAATTGTGAAAAATAATTCTACAACAACACAATCTGATGCTTTGCTCATGTCTCGATCTCAAACCTCCTATAATTATTCACTCACTTATTCATTCATAAATAGTATCTCCAAAAATGAAAACCTTCTAATTAAACCAAACGCATCCTGTTCTACAGCGATTTAACAAACTCTCAGTCCCCTAACCTCTTCCTTAGACATTATACAGGTAATGATAGTACTTCCTCTTGTACCACTCATGGTGGCTAACATCGTGATGATTATTCACCAGAGCGCCCTTGAAGAAGAGGAAACGAGCGTCCAAGGATGCCCGGCTGTCGAGGCACAGTAGCTCCTGCTGCTCCCTGACCCATTCTTCACCCAAAAGCTCGCTGCAACCTTTATCTCCCTGGCAGTGGAACTCCATGGCCTTGAGGAACCTGGCCCTGCCGTGGAGAAACTTGGCCATCTCCCTCTGCCACTCGTGCCCCCGGTAAACCTCAAACACCACCCTCTCAAGGTGGTTGTCGATGCAGGGGACAGATCTCAGCACGTCCCAGGACCCCGGTGCCGCGGCGCGGACCTTGGACCAAGTGTCTGACTGCAAAGGCAAAGAAATCAATAAGTGATACACCAGCGTGAGCAGCCATGATTGCAATGCAAGCGACAAAACTATTGTATTGTTAATGAACAATGCACTGAACAGGTGGGTGAATTTACCCTGATGTAGAGCGTTTCTAGGCAAGGGAACAGCTTGAGGAGCTGCATGAACCAATTGATGTACCCCTCGGACGTGTAGCTCAATTCGATAGCGAGTGTCTTCAGGCTTGGCATCAGGGTCTTTATATCGAAATCATCTTCCTGCATGAATTAATGCAATGCTGATAGATTCAGATTAAGATTTCAGGAGCCAAATACACCATGGCCATGGTTTGATTTCTGAATTCCTGTTGATCCATAGGTGATAGAGAATTAGAGACATGGAGTACGCTTACCGTGAAAACGGATTGCCCAATCTCAATCGTGTCGAAGCTCATGCCGAGGTAGCCCAAGAACTCCAGCTTCGGTGCGTGCGCGACCTTGAGGTGTGTGCTTCTCATGTACATGTAGTTGCCGTACACCTGCTCGAGGTTAGGAGCGTGTTCGATTAAGAGCTCATCGAAGTCGCCGCAGCCGCAGAGGGTCTTGAGGCTCTCAGACCGGACGTGGATGCGGTGGCACCAGCCCATGCTCCGCATCCTCAGGTGTTCCAGCGCCGTGCACCGCGACAGCAGGGCGCCGAGCGATTCCTCGGATATGTTGACCCCGAACAGATCGATCTCGGCGAGGGCGGCGAGCGGCACGGGGGCCTGGGTGGCGTCCGGGAAGGTGCAGCTGCTCGCGTGGAGGCGCTTGAGGGAGGTGCAGGCGAAGAGCGACGCGGGGATCTTCTGCCACCTCTCCCGGAAGGAGAGGGAGAGCTCCTTGACGCCGCGGCCAGCGAGGTCCCGGAGCCAGGCCTCGACGGAGGGGTCGTCCTCGGGCGGGAAGTAGAGCAAGCCGGTGCGGAAGGAGCGGACGCGCGCGGCGGGGTGCGCGGCGAGGATGGTGTTCACGGCGGCGACGACGTCGCGGCCGAGGGCGTAGGCCCTGAAGTCGAGGAGGGTGTAGGGGAAGAGGTGGCGCCAGCGGGTGGAGAGGACGGTGGACCGCGCCGCTTCGTCGAGCCTGAGGAGGGACAGGATGGTGACCAGGACGTTTTCCGGGAGGTTGCTGATGTAGTCGGAGTCGCACGGCGGTCCGTCGCCGCCGTCGTCCGCCATCTCCGGTGCAGGGGCGTGATCGCCGGATGCCGCGGCGGATTCTGGGATTTGGGGAGGGTTCCGGTGGCGTTGTGGGGGTACGGTCCTATATACTCCAGACGGGGCCACGGCCCACGGCCCACAGCGTTATACGATCGATCTCTGCCGTTGGATCACAATCGCATCCGTGTATCCGACGGCTTGGCTTCGGTGAACTAAGTAAAAAAATCTTGTTTTCCGAGTTTAAACTTTGGAGAAACAGCTGCTGATTGGTGACCAACTTCTAAGTACTGAACTCTACAATTATAACTTCTTATAATCTACTAAATAAAAAGTTGAATTATTTATACAATAGGATTTGCTAGTTTACTGTCGACAGTAAACGGGGGGAAAAACTGTCGAATTTTCGACCGTCGGATTCGCCTCAAAATTAGTGCTAGCGCGTTGGTGGAAAAAATTTGTCGAATTTTCAACCGTCGGATTCGCCTCAAGATTAACTCTACAATTATAACTTCTTATAATCTACTAAATAAAAAGTTGAATTATTTCTACAATCGGATTTGCTAGTTTACTGTCGACAGTAAACGGGGGGAAAAACTGTCGAATTTTCGACCGTCAGATTCGCCTCAAGATTAGTGCTAGCGCGTTGGTGGAAAAAATTTGTCGAATTTTCGACCGTCGGATTCGCCTCAAGATTAGTGCTAGCACGTTGGTGGAAAAAATCCGCATGATAACTATCATTTGAGTGCTGAATTTTCGACCGTCGGATTCGCCTCAAAATTAGTGCTAGCGCGTTGGTGGAAAAAAATTGTCGAATTTTTGACCGTTGGATTCGCCTCAAGATTAACTCTACAATTATAACTTCTTATAATCTACTAAATAAAAAGTTGAATTATTTCTACAATCGGATTTGCTAGTTTACTGTCCACAGTAAACGGGGGAAAAAACTGTCGAATTTTCGACCGTCAGATTCGCCTCAAGATTAGTGCTAGCGCGTTGGTGGAAAAAATTTGTCGAATTTTCGACCGTCGGATTCGCCTCAAGATTAGTGCTAGCACGTTGGTGGAAAAAATCCGCATGATAACTATCATTTGTGTGCTGAATTTTCGACCGTCGGATTCGCCTCAAAATTAGTGCTAGCGCGTTGGTGGAAAAAATTTGTCGAATTTTCGACCGTCGGATTCGCCTCAAGATTAACTCTACAATTATAACTTCTTATAATCTACTAAATAAAAAGTTGAATTATTTCTACAATCGGATTTGCTAGTTTACTGTCGATAGTAAACGGGGGAAAAAACTGTCGAATTTTCGACCGTCGGATTCGCCTCAAGATTAGTGCTAGCGCGTTGGTGGAAAAAATTTGTCGAATTTTCGACCGTCGGATTCGCCTCAAGATTAGTGCTAGCACGTTGGTGGAAAAAATCCGCATGATAACTATCATTTGTGTGCTGCGTGGGGGGTTCGAACCCAGGACCTCATTCCCACCAGCTATGCGTGGCAGCCACTTCATCTCTTGCAAGTTTTTGAAAAGTTTGCAAGTTACAGTTAGTTATACTCTACTTACACCCTAGTTACATTGTAGTTACAATGTAATTACATTGTAACTATAGTGTAACTATATTATAACTATATTGTTATCTATAAAGTTGCATATATTATTTTAATACATATATACAAGTTATTATTATTATAGTATATAGTTCTAGTAAAATTATATACTGTAGTTAGATTTGAAAGTTTCCCCTCAAAAAACACTCGACAGTTTTTTAGCTAATCCCTTTTACAATTATAACTTCTTACAATCTACTAAATGAAAAGTTGAATTATTTAGGAGAGCTTGCCCAAAGCCATATGGTAAGTATTTTATTTTACAAGTAACTTTCACCTTTTTTTAACGGATTTGCTATTACATGTCACCTGGCTAATTTTCTTCTACAATATCAATATACCATCTTTCGAATTCAGAGCGCCATCACCAGAATAACTGGAATTGAGCTATATAAAACGGCACATACACGTATGTTTTCATGCCGCAAAAAATATTTTTAGGGCTCCTTTGAAACTCATGATTGAAAAAAACGTAGGAATAGAGAAAACAAAGAAATATAATAGGAATACATATGCAAAACAGAGGATTGAAAAACACAAGAATTTTTTAAAAATGAGTATTTGATTAGACCGTAGAAAAACATAGGAATGGATTTGGATTAGAGAGCCCCTTTGTTTTATAGTATTGGCAAAGAATTTTCATAGGATTTAAATTCCTACGGATTTTTTTCCTACATGTCCCTTTTGATTCGTAGAAAAGAAAGTAAACTTTCCATAGGATTGTATTCCTATGCTTCACATTTCAATGGAAAATCAGCAAGATATGTGGCATCTTTGTGAACTTTTCCTTTTTTTTTCCCATAGCACTATCTACTTACACACATATAACCTACACTAATTGAATAGACAAGTGGCCATGAGCTTCTAGATTTGCCTCGATCCTACGCGAGATAGAGCAAAAACATGAGCTTAGAGTGGATGCTAAATTTCCTATGTTTTTCCTCTAAAATTATAAGAATAAAAAAGTTTCCCGTGTTTTTCCTTTCCTCGTTCCTACGAATTAAAGGCATGAATAGTGTAGGATTTCAATTCATTTGTTTTTCCTCTATTTTTCCTTCAATTCAAATGTGCCCTTAGGGCCCATTTGAATCGTAGGAATGAGAAAATGGAGGAATAGGATAAACATATGATTCTGACAGGATTGGAAGTGTAAAACAAAGAATTGTAAAACACAAAAATGATCATTTGATTGTACCGCAGGAAAAATACAGGAATCAGATGAGTGAGATAGACTCAAAGGAATTTTTACAAGAGGTTGGACCTCTTGTTAAATTTCCTCCAAAATCTACATCCAATGAGCCATTCCATAGGAATTCTATAGGATTTAGAAAACTCCAATCCTTTCAATCAAAGGATAAATAGCAAAATCTCCTACAGGATTTCAATCCTATAAAATTCCTGAAATTCCTCCATAAATTCTTGAATCAAAGGGCCCTTTAGCGTAGTTTGTACCGTTTGTACCGTACTATTGGAGTTGCTCTTGCCATCGTGCACCCGTGCAAGTCTACGTAGGAATCAGAACATTTCATTCAAGGATCAGATACGCTATTGACTAGTACTATCCACTGAGAAAATGATGGTCAGTTAAATAGCATCAGTCAACTATTTTCTTGAGATAACGATGGTTAGTTATATAATAATATTTTGAAAGACATGCTTCGTTATACAATCACCTACCTGACATCATCGTGCCTACGTCAGGAACCCAGTATAATGGACTGAAAGGAGTACTCCCTCCGTCCATCTTAAGTGTAGCCATAAATTTTCGTACCCAATTTTAATCGTCTATCTTATTTAAAAATTTTTTTGAGAAAATTTAAAAACATAAGTCACACATAAAGTACTATTCATATTTTATCATCTCGTAACAACAAAAATACTAATTACAAAAAAAATTCAAATAAGACGGATAACTAAAGTTGAGCACGGAAAGTTATGATTGCACTTAAAATGGGATGGATGTAGTATTTATCATTTACTAGCTACTGCCTCAGTCTCAAAAAGAATACATTTCTAGCTATGCAATAGCCAGAAATACGGATGGAGTATGATCAGTATTCCTCCTTTACTAACTATGAATTCTAATTAAGAATGGGATCTATGAAAAATTTCAAACATGACAACACATTGTTATATTGCTAACTGCTTACTGTACATCCAACGAGGACACCATTTTTTTTTCTCTCAAAAACACATGGACACCCCTTTGATTTAAAGGAAATTCATATGATTTTAGAGGATTTTATTTCTATAGAAATTTTTTCTAAATAGCTCTTTGAATTAAAGAAATGAATCCTATGAAATTTATATGGAATGCCTAATGTCATACAAGGTTTGGAGGAAATCTAACATGAGGTAGTGAATCTTTATCTCTCTTCTAATTCCTGTGGTCCAATCAAACTGTCATTTTTACGTTTTTCCTGTGTTTTGTAATCCTCTGTTTTTCAATTACATTCAAATCAAAATCCTTTGTTTTTTTCTATTATTATGTTTTCTCAATCGTGCGATTTAAAAGGGCCCCCAGACAGCTAGCCTGATTATAGTAGTATATGCCAATATGCAGCTTCTGAGATTGATCGCTAAACTAAATTAAATGCTGTTCTCGAGAACATGAAAACTAATCAAACTGTTCCTCAGATTCAGACACAAGAATCACATAACTTATGCAGCCACTGAATGGCGTCAGAAACTTTCAGACAACACTACGGATTAACCCACAATCGACAAAGGAACATCGCCACTTGTTCTTTGTGCTGCTTTGAACAATTGAACTACTCTCAGTCTCACACAGTTTCAGACCTATAAAACGTCAATAGCTTATATATACAAATTATATGAGAGCAATTCTCTCTTCCTTTTGGCATCGCTGGGGGCAGCAATGGCACAGGTATAGGCTACTGACCGGCCAACTACTGAATCTGTAAAAATGGAACCTGACATCGGCTGAGGCTCTGTTTGTATAGGCTAGTAGCTCTATCTGGTTACTTGCCCAATCTTTGCTTTCTGAACAGTGGAAGTCAATATCCTTGAGAGCTCTAGCCATCCCAAGCAGAAACGTCAGAAACCTCCATTGGCAGTCTTCCCCTCCAAAATCCTCGAAGACCAATTTGTTCATGGAATGTTCAATGCACTGGACAGATGTTATTGTGTCCCACTCTTCAACATCGACCGGCCGGCAAATTGACCGGCTGTCTGGCTGCAAAGATCAAACGTTGCAGATGAACAATCAAGATTCAAGACAGAACCACCACGTTTTGATTTCTGACTCAAACAAGTGGTGCTAAACTGCTAGTAACTGCTAATCACAGCCAATGTATTTGATACCTCGATATGAAGGGCCTCAAGGCATGGGAAGCATTTCAGCAATTGGGCAACGAAGATGGTGTGCCCCTTCTCTGAGAAGGGCACCTGAATAGCCAAAGTTTATACGCTGCGCATCAGGGTCCTAAATTGCACGATGCCTCCCTGCAATATTCAGAAAACAAAACAATGTCAGAGCAACAGCATCTGAGTGACAGAAGCAGAGGTGCAAGAAACAGAGGAGCCAAGAATTGTTACATCAAACACGGTGTCATATATCACGAGCGGGCGGACGCTCTTCCCCAAGTAACCCAGCACCCGCAGCTTCGGCGCGAAGACGATCTTGACCTTCGCTGCAGCGAGCGGGAGGCCGATCCCCACCAATTCTTCGAGGTTGGGGGCGTCCTCGACGACGAGCTCCTTCAGGTAACTGAAATCACCGAACAGGCGCACCAGGTTCCTCGATCGGACGCATATCTTGTCTAGTCCGGTGATGTTCTTCAGCTTTGTGCACTCTAGCGATGGGCAGTTGGACATCATAGCCTGCAGGAAGCCCTGGGACATGGAGACGTTGGACAGGTCGAGCGTCCTGAGGACGGGGAGCCGAAGCACCGGCAGGGAAAGATCGAGGAAGTTGCAGTTGAACACCCTGAGGATTTCCAGGGAGGAGAACTCGAGAATGGAACCCGGGAGGAGCGGTGCCGGGACCGTGTACAGCATGTCGACGTCGAGCTGCCGGACGCCGCGGTGCGCTAGGGTGCGGAACCAGCGATCGACGTCGGCGAGGTGGTCCGCGAACCCCTGCCCATACATGACGAAGCGGAAGCTGCGGATGCGGACGTCCGGGCGGGCTGCTAGGATGTCGGTGATGGAGCGGATGACCCACTCGCAGCCGCGGCCTTCCTCCGGCGGGAACGGCTGGCACGCGTTGAAGTCCAGCAGGGATTCGTCGAACAGTTTCCGCCACCGCCTGGAGAGCACCGCCGTGCGACCGGCGTCCCGGAAGGGGAGGAAAGAGAGGATCGACAGAAGGACGGCGTCGGGAAGGTCGCTGATGCGGTCCCTGCCGTCTCCGGCCGCCGCATCGGCGCCGCCACCGCCGCCGCCGCCACCGGGAACCACGCGAGCGCGTTTGGCCGGCTTGGCTTCGAATTCCACCTCAGGGTGGACGGCCGGGGCCCGCGTCGACGGCGGCGAGTCGTCGGAGTACGATCGCAGGGAGGGCGGCGAGTCCGGGGCGATGATCTGACCCCGCCGCGACGAGGTCGCGGAGGCGGAAGGGGAAGGGCTCACGCAACACATGCCTGCGCGGGTCTCGCATGTGGCGTCATCAATTCTCTCATGTGAAGGGAAACCCTTCGGCTTATTATACCACGTCTACTCCCTCCGTCCAAAAAAAAAAAAAAAGACAAATCCTGATTTTCGTGTCCAATGGTTGACTGTCCGTTTTATTTAAAAAAATTATGAAAAAAATTAAAAAGACAAGTCACGCATAAAATATTAATTATGTTTTATCATCTAACATAAATAAAAATACGAATTATAAAAAAATTTCATATAAAACGGACAGTTAAAGTTGGACACGAAAACTCAGGGTTTGCTTTTTTTTTTTTTTTGAGAGAGGAAGTAGTCTTCTTCGACCGTGGTGGTGTTCAGGTGTTACGCCAAACGTGGCTGGACAGGTACGGGTACGCCTGGCCGCCTGGGTACGATGTTGTGGCCTTGTGGGCTTGTGGCCTGCTATACTTTAGTACTTTCCAGGTGTCACGCCTATAATGTAAACAATGTGATCAATCAACGTTCCAAAAAATATAATACTAGAACGGTGGAAACCGGCCCATATAGTACGGACTGGTTAAGGGGGTTATGAAATCAATCCCTTTCTTTTCTCAAGTTTTGTCACGATCCAACTGGTTAGAGTTACATTTGAATTTGATTTTTTGAGGAAACTATGAAATTGACTGATTTCACCATTACCACATAAATGTGGGAAAACCGGTAGTCGAAATTTAAATGTGACCAGAGAAGCGTTCCTTATGGATGATTGGAAGGGATGTAATTACAAGTGGTATATATGTGGTGGTATATGTGCATGTGTGTCTTTCATGCAATTGAAAAAGAAAATTGATCTAGCCATTATAACCACTGACCGTGTTGAGAATCAGCAATGGTGATGACGATGGTTAGGAGTTCTTTAAAGGAAAAAGTTCGAATTGCCCCATGAACTATAATTGCAGTATGAATTACCCCCTCGATTAAAAAACAAGATATTTTCCACCTTCAACTTTTTATATTGGACGAATCACTCTCCTAACAGACTTCGGAGCGGTTTTGATCCTACGTGATGCACATATGGCAATCCAATCGGTATAAAAAAATATAACAAGGGAGGGCCCATATGTAGTGACTGAGAGAAGATGCAGAACTGACAAGTAGACCCCACCATTTGTTTTTTTTATGCTGACTGGATTGCCACATGTGCGCTACGTAGGACCAAAACCGTTTCGGAGTTGGCGAGGGGGTAATTCGTCCGGTATAAAAAGTTGAGGTGTGAAGAATTTCTGGTATTTTCATTAAGGGGTAATTCATACTTCCATAATAGTTTAAGGGAGCAATTGGGACTTTTTCCTTCTTTAAATGATGACATGGTTAAGAGTTCTTTAAATGAGATCGGCTAGAAGTTTATTCATGTACAATTGGTTTCACTAAGTAATTTAGTATGCCCGCGAGACCGAAGGTCTAACAAGTTGACATTCAAGGTCCACCCATGAAAGGGTACGGACGGCCCGTTCTGTGGAGCGCCGAACTAACGGCCCAGGTTGCACCATGTTGTGCTGGACCGTCGCTGCCCAAGCCCAGCCTCGAAAGTTCCACTTGGCATTTGTTGGCTCTGCACCACGTCCGCCAATACTAGATTCGTTGTATTAGAAAATATCACCTCGAATATTAGATTGGTTTTAATTTTAGGATGGATGGAGTGTTCATTTTTGAACGCTCAAAAAGACATGTGGTGTCTTACATGCTTACCATCCTAGCTCAGCAATGCCTCCACCAGCTCATCGGCGTCTTACTCCCCCTCGCCACGTGCTCGTGCCTCGTCTCTACCGCTGAACACCGTGTTCGTGAGGGTTCAGCGGAGCGGAGATGGCCTAGAATGCCATCGACGGTAGGTGGTCAGTGAACAATGCATTGCACTCCTTCAGTGTCGCCTATGTGAGGGGTGCCTCATCTGGCAGCAAGCCTAGATGGCGGCAAGGGTAATTTGTTTTTGCACCACGACTGGCAGGTTCATGGATCTCTTATCTAACCTTGGGCTCCTACGGGACGGCCCCTTGTTATTCTTGTTCCATCAACGGCGCATAATCGGTAAAGGCGGGTATAGTTTGCTTGAAGATGAAGGGCAAGGGGTAGGTGATGATCAGCACCCGGCCTAATCCCACCTTATCGCCAACCAGCTGAGACGCGACCGCATCCGCATGCATGCTATTGACCGCGGAGTGTGCCTGCATGTTCTCGCCCTGTTGGGTTCGCACCGGTGTGTACTCGATGGGTGGCGGCTCCAGATCATCGGCCACATCATGTCTAGCTGCTGAGAAAGAAACGAGGGGACGTTAGTGTCCCCCGTGCGAATGCGTCCCCTGGCAATGTGACTGGATATTCATGCGGAGCCGGAGTATGGACCATTGGTATTGTCAAAAATAATACCAACGGAGTACTCAAAATAAAAACGAATTTCTTTATATTTCATATATAAAACATTGCTTTATTCTGAGAGGGATGGAATCTATTAGTCTTCACTAATTTGTTGGTGTGTCTTTCATGTAATTGAGAAAAGAAATTGGTCTGACCATTCTAACCACTGACATATTGAGAATTAGCAATGGTGAAGACGATGGTTGAGAATTAGCAATGGTAATGACGATGGTTAGTAGGGTATTGCCCCACGTAGTTTTGTACGAAGCTAAATAATTAACGTAGAGTTAGTTTAATAAACAACTCTAAAATTTTTTTATAGGTACCATTATAAGTAGAAGTATATTTGGATTTCATATATAATTCTTAGATCTTATTTCTATAGATTTAGTAGATTTTATATACACCACTTAACTTCTAATTTTATAGATATAATTGTATATTGTGTATAAATATATCAATCAATCTATACTGTTATAATCCAGACACATCATGATCTAACCGTTAAGATATTTTTATTTCTCGCTGATTAATGTGCAAATTTCTAGTCTCTGGAGCGAACGAGATATCTCATTTTAAGGATGTCTGATACTTTATTCGTTTCAAAATAAACAAATTAAATACAGAATGTGACACAACCTAGATCTCGTAGTTCTACTAGGTTTGCTTATATTAGAAACGGAGGAAGAGCGTATATGAGATTGCTTAGGAGTTGATTGGTTTCACTTTGTTTAATGCTGCCTGGCAAGATCAACAAAGGTCCAACAAGATAACATTCCGGGTCCATCCATGAACGAGTACGAACGGCCCAAATTCGTTCTGTCACCGTCGAGGAGATCCAAGCGCCGACCGCCCAGGCCGCGCCGCGTGGCGGCCTGGTCCGTCGCTGCCCGGGGCCACCCTTGAAAGTTCCACTTGGCATACGTTGGATCTGAACCCAACGAGATAGACCTGACACTTATCTTAAGCTTTTGTAGTTGTAGGCCTCACCTGCCATACTCATCGACCAAGTGCACTTGCGAGAATATTTTGCAGATAGGGCACTTATCTACATCATCATTTTTCAACGCTCGAAAAAGCATATGGTGTCCTCCCTTCTTGGTTGTGGTGGATCAAGAGGATTCACAGTGGACCAAATTATCGACGTTTGATATCGCGAATGGTATGAAAATCGTTGGTACCAGAGTATATGTGAGATTGTAATAAAATAGATGGAGATAGGGATTTGGATTTTTATACAGGTTCGGGCCCCTGAATTGTCAGTTAATAACTCTACTCCTGTTGGCCGAAGCCGGTCGTTGCTCTTATTCACCATAATCACACCAGTACAATATTTGGGGTAGCCTATCTAACTGTTGTCGACTTGGCTGTCTGAAGTGCTAACTCGTAGTTGACAACAGGGTAGCTTTCCTTCTCGAATCTACATCCGGCGAGATCAAAGACAACGCTATGTCTCTCCTGACAATATCCGTAGACATCGTAGGGGACTAGCCATGCTTATCTCTGAAGCCAATATCCGGCGTCTTGTCTTGGCGCATGTTGGCTTGTATGTTGATCTCATGTCTTGATCTATTGTCCCGTGTCCCCTCTCCTCCTAGGGGCCTTGTATTTATACCCATAGATGTCCCCTTGTCTAAGTAGAACTAGGGAAATCAATATGGATACAATCCGAGCAGTCCTTGTCGTTTCAATGTAGAACTCTATTCATCCTTTCTCATGTGAAACTATTCCTATATTCAAAGATTGTTTCCGTATAAGACATAATATGTGGTAGTTCCTGTAAAGATTTAGTCAACGTATGTGGTATCCATAACTGACACAAGCATTATCACGACGTTTTCACGGAGTACGCGATCTTTCCATCGCCGTGATACCAACAAAAAGGAATTGCCGTAAGCTGGGGGCACCACCTCACCGGACCGGACCGTTCTCGATGTGCTAACCGAATTATGATAGTAGCGCCGCCCCCGCCCGCCCACGGCCGTCGAGCCGGCTGGAATGAGATGGCCCCCACTCACCGTACGGGGTGGGGCGGGCCCCGCGCTTTTGTCCGCGTCGGGCGCCTCCACGGCGAAAAGCTGCCAGGTGGGCCCACGGTCCCGCGGGTCAGTGGGCCGTCCAGCTCACGGTTCGGCGTGGCGCGGGGGGCTTATCAGTTATCCCAGCGCTGCACCCACGCCACCACCCCTTCCCTTCCCTTCCCTTCCGCCGCTTTCCAACGCGCACCCGGCACCCCCACATCTCGCGTATTCCCGCATGTGCGCACGCACACTTGCGTCCATTAATTAATCTTCTTTACCCTGCACCTGAGGAGGAGGAATGGCTGATGCCCCAGGCGATTGAATCGAATCGGGGGAGGAGGGGGAGGTGGGGAGCGGGGGGGAAATCTGAGTGATCGGTTGTTCCTCGTCCGATCGCCGCCATGTTCTCGCGATCCTACACCAACCTGGTCGATCTCGCCAACGGCAACCTCTCCGCCCTGGACTATGGTGGCGGAGGGGGAGGGGGCGGCGGCGGCAACGGGGCCGGGGGCCGGCCGCCGCGGGCGAGGCGGATGCAGCGGACGATGACGACGCCCGGGACGCTGGCGGAGCTCGACGAGGAGCGGGCCGGGAGCGTCACCTCCGACGTGCCCTCGTCGCTCGCCAGCGACCGCCTCATCGTCGTCGCCAACACCCTCCCCGTGCGCTGCGAGCGCCGCCCCGACGGGCGCGGGTGGAGCTTCTGCTGGGACGAGGACTCCCTCCTCCTCCACCTCCGCGACGGCCTCCCCGATGACATGGAGGTCCTCTACGTCGGCTCCCTCCGCGCCGACGTGCCGTCCGCCGAGCAGGACGACGTCGCGCAGGCGCTCCTCGACCGGTTCCGCTGCGTCCCGGCTTTCCTCCCCAAGGACGTCTTGGACAGATTCTACCATGGCTTCTGCAAGCAGACGCTGTGGCCGCTCTTCCACTACATGCTCCCCTTCACCTCCGACCATGGCGGCCGCTTCGATCGCTCCCAGTGGGAGGCATACGTCCTCGCCAACAAGCTCTTCTCCCAGCGCGTCATCGAGGTCCTCAACCCCGAGGATGACTACATCTGGATCCACGATTACCACCTCCTCGCCCTCCCGTCCTTCCTTCGCCGTCGGTTCAACAGGCTCCGCATCGGTTTCTTCCTGCACAGCCCGTTCCCTTCGTCGGAACTCTACCGTTCCCTCCCTGTTCGCGACGAGATCCTCAAATCACTGCTAAACTGCGATCTGATTGGGTTCCACACCTTTGATTACGCGCGGCATTTCCTGTCCTGCTGCAGCCGGATGCTGGGGATCGAGTACCAGTCGAAGAGGGGATATATCGGTCTCGATTACTTTGGCCGCACTGTTGGGATAAAGATCATGCCTGTTGGGATTAACATGACGCAGCTGCAGACGCAGATCCGGCTGCCTGATCTTGAGTGGCGTGTCGCCGAACTCCGGAAGCAGTTTGATGGGAAGACTGTCATGCTCGGTGTGGATGATATGGACATATTTAAGGGGATTAATCTGAAAGTTCTTGCGTTTGAGCAGATGCTGAGGACACACCCAAAATGGCAGCGCAAGGCAGTGTTGGTGCAGATTGCAAACCCAAGGGGTGGTGGTGGGAAGGACCTTGAAGAGATACAGGCTGAGATTGATGAGAGTTGCAGGAGGATAAATGCACAATTTTCACGGCCAGGATATGTTCCTGTGGTGATTATCAATAGAGCCCTTTCAAGTGTGGAGAGGATGGCTTATTATACCGTGGCAGAGTGTGTCGTTGTAACTGCAGTGAGGGATGGGATGAACCTCACACCATATGAGTATATTGTCTGTAGACAGGGATTTCCAGATTTGGATGGTTCTGGGGATGATGGGCCAAGGAGAAAGAGTATGTTAGTTGTGTCCGAATTCATTGGTTGCTCACCATCACTTAGTGGAGCAATTCGGGTAAACCCTTGGAACATTGATACAACAGCAGAGGCAATGAACGAGTCGATTGCTTTATCAGAGAACGAGAAGCAACTGCGGCATGAGAAGCATTACAGATATGTCAGCTCACATGATGTTGCCTATTGGTCCAAGAGCTATATTCATGATTTGGAGAGAAGCTGCAGGGACCATTTTAGGAGGAGGTGCTGGGGTATTGGACTAGGATTTGGATTTAGAGTAGTTGCTCTTGACCGCAACTTCAAAAAGCTTACTGTGGATTCTATCGTTACTGATTACAAGAATTCTAAGAGCAGGGTTATACTGCTAGACTACGATGGAACGCTAGTACCACAAACTACAATCAACAGGACTCCAAATGAAAGTGTTGTTAAAATCATGAATGCTCTTTGTGACGATAAGAAGAATGTTGTTTTTATTGTTAGTGGACGAGGAAGGGATAGCCTTGAGAAATGGTTTTCCCCTTGCCAGGATCTTGGCATTGCTGCCGAACATGGCTACTTTATGAGGTATGTCCCAACTTGTTTTTTTTTTTTCACATATTTCAATCGGTACATTACCATTCTTTAGTGGGTCTTGATTGGTTTTGTGCCCTCTGGCATAGTTGTTATATAATGCTGTGTAGTATGCCTGGTGATAGGTTGCCTGTATCAAATCCCTTTGCTGTTATTTTTTGTAAAACATATTAGATGATTACTATATTGTAGCATGTGATGTGCTGACATTGAAGAGTGATCATGTGAACAGACTACTTCAAAGCTCTTGTCATAACCCAAGATTTTGATGATAAACATTTATTGAACTTTCTTATATGAGCAACATGTATAAATGATTTTTTTTGTGTAGAATATGCTAAGGAATAACAAAAGTATTTGTGGTATATATTTTTTTTATTCACTGATTCATATGGTTTATGTGTCAATTTGATGAAGATGTTACCACTTGCTACATCAACAGATCAACTCATCAAAAACATCAACTAGAATAGGAACCTAAAATTCTAACATGTTAAGTAGGTTAGCCTAACACATTTAACATTGTGGGAGTTGTGACATTGATCATGAAAGCGCTCACATTTTAGGGTTTTAGAAGCTGTAACAGTATATAGTTGGTCACTATCACTTGTGATTCCATCAGTTGGCAGTGATTAATTAACATTCATAGGAACACACTAAAATGCATTTCTTGAAATTCCAATTCGTTATCCTGCATTCCAGAAATTCTTCTTTGTGAAATCGAGCAAAGTACAGCCTGAAAATTTTGCATGCGTTGATGGTCTTACATTATTGTTCATGCTTATGACGGTTAATTCATCGAAAACATTTTACTTCTTTAGCAAGTTTTTATCAAATTCTCATCAGCTACCCTCTCTTCTGTAGGTGGACCAGAGATGAGCAATGGCAATTGAATAACCAGTGCTCAGAATTTGGATGGATGCAGATGGCCAAGCCAGTTATGAACCTGTATACAGAAGCAACCGATGGATCATATATTGAAACCAAAGAGAGTGCTTTGGTCTGGCACCACCAAGATGCTGACCCTGGTTTTGGATCTTCACAAGCTAAAGAGATGCTAGATCATTTGGAAAGTGTTCTTGCTAATGAGCCTGTCTGTGTAAAGAGTGGCCAACAGATTGTGGAAGTGAAACCGCAGGTATTTCATTTCTCACACATCATCCATCTACTTTTGTGGTGTTGGCATTGATAATTATTGTGTCAACTAATTTTGCTTACTACTTATAAGGAACCCTTAGAAGGTGCAATATACTTCTAGTAATGATGAATGGTTTCATCATTACTCTGTTTTTTTACATGTTGAAATTGTAACTCTGCTTTGATCTACTGTGATTATGAGTTCATAGCAATAGCATCCAAATCCAATGCATGATAGTACATGATGTGGTGTGGTGGGCAACAGGGATAGTGAATCTGTGAGTGCTTAACTTTTATAGGATAGGAGTTGCACTAGAAAAAAAAAAGGTCCGATTTTTTGTCTACCAACAACAATTTACTTATCTTGCTACTTCAGAGTTTACATTCTTGCTTTGTTGTATTGCAGGGTGTCAGCAAAGGATTTGTTGCTGAGAAGATCCTATCAACGCTGACAGAGAACAAGAGACAGGCAGATTTTGTTCTCTGCATAGGCGATGATAGATCAGACGAGGATATGTTTGAAGGAATTGCTGATATCATGAGAAGGAGCATAGTTGATCCCCAAACATCATTATATGCGTGCACAGTCGGCCAGAAGCCAAGCAAGGCTAAGTACTATTTGGACGATACTAATGATGTTTTGAACATGCTTGAGGCGCTTGCAGATGCATCAGAGGAGACTGATTCACAGGAAGATGCAGAAGAGATAACATCTATCCCGGACCCGGAATAGGCGTGATGATGTTTTAAATCTCCTGGTGATGTCAATGCGTCAATTGCCACCAGCAGTCTTCCTGACTAAAATTGAAGCTGATTGCCATCAGCAGGAAGTGCAACTTTAGTAATACTCAGTTAGACAAATCAATGTCAATAATCTTAGCGCTGCTCGATTTTCTGCCATTTTTCTGATTTCTCTTATGATAGTTTTGGAGTAATTCTCATAATATTGGTAGATAGAAAGGAGCCTGGGGGGAAAGAATCCATGGCGTAGTACATCATTTTTCTTTTACCTTGCTTGTTAGGTACAGTATGGAAGATTGGAGTATTTGCGGGAGTACAAGTCGGAAATTTGGTGAGCAATTTTGTATTAGATCCTTTTAAGTTTAAAGCGATAAAACACTATTGCCATTTAAACTAGAGTAAATTTCATAAACCCTATTTATTATGGTCGAAGTTGCACAAAATCATAAGAATTTTAACATGTGACACATAGCCTCGGTATTATAGTCATAAAGTTTCACAAAACCCCACCGTTAGCCATTTTGATATACACCTATATCAAAATTTTGAACGTGGATGTAGCATTACACATATATCAAAATTTTGAAAGTGGATGTAACATTTATATGATAGATAAAATCCTCACAAGTTTAAAATGTGATTGTAGATTTTAAAATTGATCAATTAAAATCAAAATGAAAGTGTGGTTCTGTGAAACTTTAGATCACAATACGTGGAGTTATATGACACGATAAAATCCCTGTGGTTTTATGCAATTTCGCATAATGTGCAAGGTTTTATAAAGTTTAGTACTACATGGAATTGGGTGGCTTTTTAGAAGGCCCAAGCCTTGTACAAACTACTGCTACTCCGACAAAAGGAAAAAATAAAAGGAAAAAAGAATAGTTTAAAACCATACACCGATAAGCTTAAGCAGACAAAAGGAACTTCTCGCCCACGTCAGAGATCATAGAACATGAGAACGTGCAGTGATGTAGAGATAGCAACTTTTCTAGTGCGAGCAGTTAATTTTAAATAAATAAAAAATAGGAAATTATCGCACTACTTTAATTTTAAATAAATAAAAAATCAGGAAATTATCGCCCTGATGTTGAGTTTTCTAATGCTTTGGCTTCTACATTTTTTGATAGATAATGAGAATTCTAGTCTTTGCTTCAACCCAAACTACAACCACTAGTTCTTTTGAAAAAAATATATATATACGAGATGTTCTTCTACAGTCCCGTTTGTGTAGTGTTTAAAATTCTCTTATATGTATTTAAAATGTTTTAGCAATAAGAAAGAAAATATTAGAGTAGTTACAAATATACGAGAAATAGACCAATGATCAACGGTAAATTACTGACCTTACTAAACTAGTGTTGAAAGTGTATCCGCATTTATCTAATATTTTAGGGTTCATTGATCTAGTTTGATGGGTCGGTAAAGCTATACATCTACAATTTTACCACGATATACTGTTTAAATTATTGATGCCTTTTCAATGTCTTGTATTGTGAAATGGTAGAGGTAGAATTAAGCGTATTCCATTGTAAAATACTAGTAGTATATTAAATTGAAACTTTGTTAGGACTGCGCACCATTGCACCACACCAACTATAACCAAATGGCAGATGCATAATAAGTGCAAGTCAAGTTGGAGCTTGATAACTACGAACTGGGGTGTGGCGAACTGCGTACACCCATGGCTCGCACCAAATATATATATAACCATCAAATGGCATTAACATATTACACAAAGTTTATCATGTCAACTTATGCTAAAAGGACACCTATATACAAATACAACGAGAAAAAGACGTACGTCGGTCCAAATGAAGCAACATGGTGGTGCTTTCGATTTCCCTTTTTAGTAACTAGATAGAACTTTGGAACGGAAGCAAATCTTATCTTATCTATCTTATATAGTGAAAGCAGTAAGTTTACTTACACGAGAACACGCCACATCATCATAAATATATTAGCCGTCAAATAAAGGATTTGGATAAACAATGACCATTGTATTAAAAGGGTACAGTATAAAAAACCCACAAATGCCCCGAAAAAAAGAGAGCACTTCTACGGTAAACTATACTGTAAGTATATACTAGCAGTTTAAACGATCTAACGGTAAAGATGTATCTGATATTTCACCCGGTTAGCTTTGCAGTATAAATTCGAAAAGGGTATATTTGTCTTTTCATCTTTCTGCGTGGGGGTATTTTTGTATTTTCGCGTTTTGTTTCTTGGTCAGATCCCGACCTAGAGAAATCCAGTCGGTTTGTCGTTCGAAAGAAACGGCGGCTTGAGAGAAATCCGCTCCATTCCCCTTCCTTCATCACATGGGCTACCGCCGCCAGCCACCGTGAGCACGCCGCGCCCCGGGCCACCGCAAACCGGGATTGATTCAATTTACTGTCCTCCTTTCCTCCTCTTCTGTCATTCCCGCGCACCTAAGAAGCAGCAGCAGTGTAGGGCATCCGGGCGGCGGCAGCAGACCAGGGGCAAGGCGCACAGCCAGGGATGGGCAGGCAGTAGGAGGCAAGCCCAACTCGCCGCCTCTCCATGTTGGAATAGAACTGGCAAATCATCCCGTTACAAGTACTCCCGATTGAAATAAATTAATCTGAACTTCAAATGACTAAATAGCCCTTTCTAGCTGTTTAACAAATACCAAACATACCCTTTTATATATTGCTAGTATATACTTACAGTACAATGTACCGTAAAAATCCTAAAAAAAACCCACAAATGAGCTAAACATATGGAAATTTCTTGAGGTTTCTAGTATCTCATCTAGACACAGGATAAAAAAGAGGGGATAAAGAGAGAAGAAACATGAGACTTCTAGTGATTTCTCTTATAAACATATAGTACAACTTAGTTAAATCTATAATTGGCTAGGAAAATCAATACTACTTTGTTAAAAAAATAACTTAATATGTTAAAACCTTCTTAAAAGCTTAGCTAAACTAATAGACCATATAGAAAAGTTCTTAAATAGGATTAAAGTCGTGCAAAGTGCGACTATGTGGCTAGTTAATTAATTATAGTGAAAGCAGCAAGTTTACTTACACGAGAACGCACCACATCATCACAAATATATTAGCCGTCAGATAAAGTATTTGGATAAACAATGACCATTGTATTAAAAGGGTACAGTATAAAAAACCCACAAATGAGTTAAACTTATGGAAATTTCATGAGGTTTCTAGTACCTCATCTAGACACAGGATAAAAAAGAGGGGATAAAGAGAGAAGAAACATGAGACTTCTAGTTATTTCTCTTATAAATATATAGTACAATTTAGTTAAATCTATAATTGGCTAGGGAAATCAATACTATTTTGTTATAAAAAATAACTTACTACGTTAAAACCTTCTTAAAAACTTAGCTAAACTAATAGACCGTATAGAAAAGCTCTTAAATAGGATTAAAGTCGTGCAAAGCGCGATAACGTGGCTAGTTAATTAACATTTTGATTGGCAACCGGAGTCCGGAGAAGCTGATCAAGCGACCTACTCCCTCCATCCCAAAATGTTTGACATCGTTGACTTTTTTTAAAATGTTTGACCGTTCGTCTTATTCAAAATATTTTTTTAAGTAATTATTAATTCTTTTCCTATTATTTGATTTATTGTTAAATATATTTTTATGTATATATATAGTTTTACATATTTCACAAAAGTTTTTTAATAAGACGAACGGTCAAATATGTTTTGAAAAGTCAACGGCGTTAAATATTTAGAGGAAGAGGGAGTACGTACCTAGCTAGTGCCCAACACCAGGGCTCGGAACGGACCGCATCAGTCGCTCCGTCCTCGCCGCCGGAGGCGGCATTGGCATCGTCGTGCGCGCATCTTCCCCGTCGCTGGCCTGGTACGCCCTGACCACCACGCCAACGCTCGCTTCCAAGCACACCATCCTGCCTCCTCCCCATCCCATCCCCGGCGACATGCGGCCCTGGCACAATGAGCCGCAGCACAGCAGCAGGCCGCAGCACAGCGCAAGGAGCTGCACCGCACGTTGATCCCTGTTGCTGCCTACACCCTTGGCAATGAGCACCATGGCGAGCAAACGCAGGGGATCGAAGCAAAATTAACGGCCGCGGCTGGATCGGCTCGAAGCTAAGTAATAAGCTGAGGCTGAGCTGGTCGGGATCGAGATAATGTTGTTTGTTGTCTCGGTGACGGGTGAGATCGGTCAGGGTGATCTCAGAGGGTCGGGTGATGTGGAGTAGTCGGTCACAACTCCACGAGACGGCGACTGCGTGCGTGCGTGCGTCGGCCTCACAAGTCACACGCAGGGCGGAGCTAGAGTATATATTGAGAAGGGTGAGTGGTTGTCACGAAAAAATTATAACTATATATGACCTATTTTCACCGTGTATGTATCTTTAATATAAATTTAAACACTCACATTAGCTTAAACTTGATACTCTATCCATTCCAAATTGATCTACATATTTTATAGGTACACCAAGACCAAGAAAAACTAATTAATAACTTTCTCATACTATATTTACTCTAACAATAAACTCGATGCATGCACCATCCTCATTATTTCTTAGCCAATAGCAAATCAAGATGTTCCATGTGGGTTATAAATACTTGTGTGTATGGATACATGCATCAATGTCCATTTACTTCAATACACAAATAACGAATAGACTTAATGAATGGACACAAACATGATAATTATTTAGGAATAATATAAAAAAAACTATACGATGGTCATTTTGGAACGGAAGGAGTATAAAGCAAAGTAAATTAAATAAGTGACATCCTCCTCCATACTCCCTCCGTACTCATAAAGGAAGTCGTTTAGGATAATGTTTAAGTCAAACCTTGAGAATATAAATCATAAATAACTCTCAAGTTGTTGAGTTTGAAAATATAAAAATTATATGAATATATTTGTATTGAAAAATACTTTCATAAAAATATACATATATCACTTTTAATAAATATTTTTATAGAAAAAAGTCAAAGTTATGTTTTAGAGACCGTATTGCTGGTCTAAACGACTTTTTTTTTTTATGAGTACGGAGGGAGTACAGTTCTAGCTCCACCCCTCCTCACACCACACCACCGGGTTGCGCGAGCCGCCGGTATATAAGAGCGCGCCTCGGCACACAGAAACTCACCGTTTCCGCCGGGTTTTCTCGCGCCAATTGGTCGCGCCGCGCGCCGCCGGGCATGTAAGCGTCGTTCTATTGGTTAACCAAACTACGCGTAGGCCGCGCTACGTGCGCCGGTCGGCCCCGGACGACGTGGCGATCAATTGCTCCTTTTCGGAACGGCGTGCGTGGGTCAAATTCTACTCCTGCCAGGGCTGCCGTTTTTTGCGACTCTTTTCATGGCAAAGCTCAGCTAATGCTGATCGAGTGCTGACGTTGACGTGCTACGTCGGGATTTGGTTAAAACTGGATAACCTTTGACATCGCCACGTCGGTGAGCTTCTACACTTGGGTTACTGCATTGTACCTCTAAGAGCAGGTACAATAGCAGGCTATAAGCCAGTTACAAACATATTTTAAGGAGATAAACGAGAAGAGAGAAGAGCAGCGGGCTACAGATCTGTAGCCAGCTGTAGCACGGACTCCGACACAGTGTGTATGACAGGTGGGACTAAGTATTAATGGTGTAATATGTAACTATTGTACAAATAAACTATTAAATTGGCTATAGATGAATTGGAGCTAATAGTTGACTATACTATTAAACTTGCTCTAATGTCTTGTCTTAATTTTATTCCTAAAATCTAAGGAACCAGCAACCCCAATATATCCTCTATATCAATCTAAAGCCACATTACTATATCATATCCCAGGTGAACTGAAAACATCCGCGAGTGTGAGAGGGATGTGCGTATACCTTAAGATGGATATGGGAGTTTTGGAAGTGACTGCTGCCTAAATAATCCCAGCTTGGTTCCAAAAGGAATGAACAAGGATGAGCAATTCCGTCCACATGAATTTGAGATGCACTCCAGCAATTACCACAACATCCACACGGCGACGTGACAAGAAGGACCACACAACTTCACCGAGTGGATGACTTGTCCTCGAGATTTTTACTGATGTCTTGACCATGTTGGTCCTTTCTCCAGACGAGATAAACGAAAGCGGAGGCACACAGAATGCCAGATCAGAATAACATTTCTTTCATCTGCATGACTCCATGCCCTTCAATATCCAGATGATTCTTTCCCCTAGTACCCTTGCATGATGAATGATACAGGCATTTAGTACTAGTTTCTCACCTAGGACCCACACCCTCATTTCTATCCACATTTCTGTGCCCTTAAAACAAGAATATCGCCCATTTCTTTTTCACCTTTATTAAATTGAGCAAGGAAAATGACTTTTCACGTTCTTCCAGTGGAATATTTCTTCCAAGTGCTTCACATCTTGTCAAATGGACATTAGGGTCTACATAGGTAAAATTACTATGGGTGAAAAATGGATAAGGACAAACCATTTTATCTGATGATATTCATAAAAATAACACTGTCCGTGGTCACACAAGGAAAACTATCCGTATTAAAATTTAATAATTTCTACCACTATTTGGGAATATCTAATTTCACATGGAGGTTGTCCGTGTTAAGGAAAAAAAAGGGGGAGAGAGGGGGGGGGGGTGGAGTGTATCTATTCAACAGAAATAGGATACTATCAGGTGTATTATTTGTGTCCCATCCAAATGTCTTTTGTTCTTATTACATATGCATTTTTATATGAATGTTAAGCAAAACGTAGTTTTAAATCCTTTATATTAGCGTAACTAAACTCGTGTTTTACACAGTATTATGTAGTAAAGTATCTGGCATTCAACTGATCTGTGCATATATTCGACTTGATTTTTTGTCAAATTCAACAGCAAGATGCATATTCATTTTTGGCACCTTTTGAACACATGCGATGTTTAATATTTGATAAGTTCTCACGAACATTTTACATGATCTTGCGAAAATCATGCACCTTGAAGAAATCTTTTAGAGCTCAACCTTTTCAAGCTGCTTTGTTAGATGTTGGCAACTTTTAGCTATGCAAAAGTTGGGAGCGTATCCTATGCACACAGGCCCTCACGTGTACACACCGTGTACACCAACTAAAAATTATCACAAAAAATTCTAGGAAAATTAATACATGTACTTTCAATAGTATTACATCTACGTGCAAAGTCGCATATTCAAATTCATTCTACATAGAGAATAACAAAAAAGATAAAATTCTGACAAAATTGTAACCTTAAAACTGTCAAATTTTTTGTTTTTTTTGTTACGGCTAAAATATAATGAATTTGACGTTAAGATTTTAACCCTAGGTGTAATACAATTGAAAGTATGTGTATGATTTTTTCTAGATTTTTTGGTGACATTTTTTAGTTGGTGTGCACGTGTGTACACGTGAGGACCGGTGTGCATAGGATATGTTGCCGCAAAAGTTTCATAGAGATGGAGGTCATCTACATGCATGCTTTCAAGCAACAAAGTAAAAGTTGGCACTTGGCAACCATTCGTAGTGCTTGTCGCGGCTGCCTAATGTAATAGAATAAGCTTGTAGCTACCGATATGATAGGCCTGTTTGCTGACCCATACTTGGCCCAATGTGCCTGGTGATCTTGGAGTCACAATATGTGCAATACCACACATCTGGCCCATAATGTGGTAAAATGGGAGTATCCCCCCCTCTCTCTCTCTCTCTCTCTCTCTAGTTTTGACAGTTGCTGTGAATTATTTTGTGTGCGCACTTCCACACTAAAAGTATTTGGCTGATCAGCCAAAGCTACCTCCAATTCAGCCAAACTTCAATGCAAATTGGTTAGCTTATTTTGATTAAATGGTGATCAGCCAAAGCATTTGCCATCCGATGAGGGCGTACTATTAAAGTTTCAGCTTCAAAGTTCAACTTAGCAAGACAGAATGAGAGAGATTAAAGGTGGAACTTTAGTTTCGAAAAATTATGTGCCAACACAAACCATGTCTTAGCCATCAGATCAAAAATATTTTGAGTAGTTCACAATATCAAAAACTAAAAAAATTATGACCAGTTCCGATCGAATTTCAATCGAGTTCACTGTTTCAAATTTGAAATTGATCTAAAAAACCATTCAAATTTCTCCTTGAGATCGGTTCTCGGATTGGCTGAGAATCTCAAAGTTCCAAGATTTTCTATCGGTTTTCATCGAAATTGTAAATCCTGGTTATTGTAACGCCAAAACTAAACTGAAATTTCATCGACAGTGAGACGCCCATGGTGGTTTCATCAATTTTAAGATATATCAGCCCAGTCTTTTGAAGGTACTTATATAGATAGGATATGCACGTGTGAGTTTAGTACTGCATTTATAAAAAGAAAAAAAGAAAAACTAAACTAATGTCATGGAGAAAAAAAAACATTCAAGGATCTCCACGTAAATATAAAAGATCGTAAAGATCAATTTGCAAAGAAGAACAAACGAGAAAAATCGCGGGAGAGGAGTGGCCCAGAAAAACCAAAATAAACAGAGTCCGCCAAGAAAACCACCAAAAAAAAAAAACAGAGCAACAATCCCCGTTACCCCACGGGATCCAACCGGATTCTCCTTGTCCTTCTCCCTTCCTCCCTCGCCGGAGCCCGATCGAAGGTACGCCGCTTCCCATCGGATGGCTCCTCTCCTGTCACCACCGCTGCTTGCCGACTCGGTTGCCAAGTTCCATTGCTCCTCCACACCCACCCCCTGCTCCGGCAGTGTCCGGCGATGGGCAATCACAAGGTTCGCCGGGGCCGGGAGGAGGAGAGACTGGCACCGGAGACGGCGGACGTCCGGAAGGGGGGTCCTGACGGTTTCCGCGGTGGCGGCGGAGTCGCCCAGCTCCGGTGGTGGCGTCGCCGAAGACTACTACGCTGTTCTTGGCGTTGTAAGTTTGATTTTCCATTTTCTGTGCATTAAACCCATATTACCTATTTTCAGTTTTTCTCTGTTTTATTTTCTATACTTTGGAATTGTTAGAAAAGAATGGTAGATGGTACATATATATTGCATTATTCAGTATTCACAGTTCTGCAGAATACCGAGAAGTTAATGAATTCAACTTTCAATGCTTTCAGATGCCGGATGCAACACCTCAGCAGATCAAGAAAGCGTACTACAATTGCATGAAAGCATGCCATCCTGATCTCAGTGGCAATGACCCCGATGTGACGAACTTCTGCATGTTCATCAATGAAGTTTACACGGTAATCTGGACTCTACAGAGATCGAAGTCTGCTGCTTTTTGGAGCATTCTGTATGTTTTAAAAATTTATATGCGAAATTAACATGAGCAAGGGACTGGCAGGTACTTACCGATCCCATCCAGCGAGCGGTGTATGATGAGATTCATGGCTATGCCGCAACAGCAACCAACCCCTTCTTCGATGACAGTGCCCCTAGGGATCATGTGTTTGTCGATGAGTTTAGCTGCATAGGTATTATTAACTACTATATAACCAAACAGGAGTTTATCCTAGTCTATGTACTCTTTGGTAGTTATTGGCTTCTATTTAATTTCTTCACGCATTTATACAGGATGTAAAAACTGTGCTAATGTGTGTTCTAAGGTCTTCGAAATTGAGGAAGATTTTGGTCGGGCAAGAGTTTACAATCAATCAGGCAATGCCGAACTAATTCAAGAAGCTATTGACACTTGGTGAGATTGTTGAATTTCAAAATTTTGCTAAAAAAAGGAAAAAATGTTACAAGTTTGCTGAACAAATTTCAGTGTTTCCCCCATTTGTATGCTAGACTAATATTACTGCTCTGAATTTCTGATACGCAGTCCAGTTGACTGCATCCATTGGACATCAGCTGCACAACTTTCACTCCTTGAAGATGAAATGCGAAGAGTAGAAAGAGTGAATGTAAGGAAAACATCAAAGATATTTCCAATAACCTCATGTCTATCGGTCTATCAGGCAGTAGTTTATATGTTTGTTATTTCCAAACCTGCCAGATTGTGATATCTTGCAAAAGCATATTATTTTTTTCTTCCATTTGAGCAGGTTGGTTTGATGCTAGCTGGGATGGGAAGTTCAGTTGATGTGTTTCGGATGGTAATTTCCTAGTACTTAATTTGTAATTTTATTATCCATTCTAGTACCATTCTAGTACTATTCTGTACTTTTGCAACACTCCACACTGTCAATTCAAAACATGGCATAAGTTCATCGGAAAAGAACAGATTTTTTTTTTCTTTTGCATCCAGAAGTAGATACTCCTACCTGGTACAGTAGACTAGTACGGTGTGGATTTTCTGAAGTTTGAGCCACCGTTTCTTCAGAAAGTCCTTAATTTGTTTTTTATCTTCTCTGTCTGCCAGGCAAGTACACGATGGGAGAAAAGACAGGCTAAAGTCTTGGTATAATTCTCTGTTTCAATACATTGCTTTCTTTAGACAAACATAAGAAATAATAATTTAAGATTTTTAGGATGAACCTTCGTTACTCCTATTTCATTGTAGTATGTAAACTGTCTGTTTTTCTTTGAAACCTGTCTGTCTTGTAGGAAAAGGTCAGAAGACGTGTGAGCCAAGAAGATTCTGGTAAGGGCAGCTCATGGAGTGATGTCTGGGGAGCACCAACAAGATATCGAAAGAACGGTAAAGCTAGCGTAATTTGCCATTGGCAATTGCTACTAATTTGCTCATACCATTTGGATTCCCATCCAGTACCCACATAGCCGTCTTCTTAACTCTCCTGCTAACACATTGAGCAGAGGACGAAGCAAGGGAGAGAGCAAAGCGAGCAGCGGCGGCAGCGAGGAGGTGGAGAGAATACTCGAGGAAAGGTGCAGACAAGCCTCCCACATTCAAACTTCCAGAGGCAGTGTCCAACAAGGAGTGAGAGAACAGAACACAATCAAATGAGAATTTTTATCAAAGCAGTGCTACCTAACCCCATTGAAATCATGTATAGTCTAATTATTTGCAGAGAGCTGTATAGCATTTATGCTCTCTCGCCCTCCATTCCACATGATGACCAATATCTTCCAATATTCTGCTTGAGATAGTTGGTGTTGGTCACCATATAGAATACAGAACTACAGATTCCAAGTGTAGAAAGATACTGTACCATTGCTACTCATACAGTTATGTACTTATGTTATGATGAAACTTAGAAACTTGGTTTATACTAATGCTGGAATTGTGCAAACACAGATCATAGCTACTAGCAAGTTGTGAACCAAACCATAAGAAATCTTTATTTTTCAGGATAGAGCAAAGAATGAAGAAATGGCATACATCACTGCTACAATATTCTGAACTAATTAATCGTCCCTAAAAAAAATCATGAATTAGTAGGGGGTTATGAGTGACGAGTCTTTCATCTGACCGAGCAAGCAACGGCATGAGCCCACGACCTGAGATGCGCCCTCATGGCCGGGCCGTCGCTCGTGCGCGGCATCGGCAAAGGCGAGCACCGCGCCGGCGCGGCGGCGGCGGCGGCGGCGGCGACGCGCATCTGCCGGCACTGCTCCTGCCACATGTCCATGCGCTCCTCCTCGACCACCCGGCCTCTTGCAGCCGCAGCCGCTCTCCTCCCGCCTGCCACCGGCGCCACCGCCTTCCTAACGCCTCCGGGATCTTCATGGCCGCAATCGCCGTCCTTCTCGTGGATCTCAGGAGAATCCCGCTCCTCGGGCTGCAACTCTCCGGGCCCAGGAGGAGGGCACTTCGTCTTCTCCTTGACAGGCGGCGGGAGGAGGAAGACGCTGGAGAAGAACCAGAGGGAGTCAATGCTGGCGAAGAACTCCTCATCCTCCTCCTCCTGCCCTTCCATATGTTGGGGATTCTTGGCTGAAATTCTCTGGGATTCGGCGAGGGGGGGGGGGGGGAGGAGGAGGAGGAGGAGGGGAGAAACGGTTGGAGACCGAGGAGGGATTTGTGCTGGGAGTTCGGCGCTTCGGCCGCGTTGGTTTGAACTGGAGTCTTTTCGAGTGTAACCAACGGCTTGGAGAGGGGGGGGGGGGGGGGGGGAGAAAAGGTCCATCTTTTGCACGACTTTTCAGGAAGACCATATTGGATTCCAGGTCAGATCGCTTCGTCAGGGGGTGGGCTGCCTGCAGAATGGGACCCGCTTGAGCTGGCTGTATCTTATTTTTCTCATTTTGCGAAATCAACAAGCTGTAATGCCAACGTATCCTTCCATTTCAAAAGCACGCCTAGAATGTTTTCATAATGTTATGTAGCATGCGTCTAGTTTAATGGTGTTTTTCCTCTGAACATGTAAGCAAGCTTTGCAACAGCATGCATTTGAATATGCACATGCAAATCTGCTAGGATATCCTTAAAAAAAAGGATAATCTAATATTAGAAGGTGATATATCATAACACAACGAATTTGGATATAAGAGAGTACTATGTCTGATCGTGCGTTTTCTCAGAGTTCACAATTATATTGGAATCCGGTTCAGATTTCGCAAAATATACACCTTTTGGTTCGCATCGAAAACACACGCCATTCAGTTTTTTGGTCTAGTTCAAAAAAACCAAACTAAAATTTATTTTTTTTTATAAAATTTATTTGAATTTTATTGATTTTTATCGGTTTATCAACGGATTTCGCGAAATCCCATGCCGCTGCTTGTGAACAAATTTTGATTAGATATCAGGATTTGTGAACCCTGCGTTGATCATAAGCCAACATAACGTCATAACGAACTGCTTTGCAGGTAAGAGTGCTGCAATGCTGAAATGCAGGGAAAAAAGGGTAAGATTTACAAGATCAAAAACACATGTAGGATGATGTAACTTGACCCGTCGAGCATTCATGCATGCAAGCAAACAAGAAATAATTGTGTAGTAAGAACATCTCCAATAGCCTCTTCATCCCACTCTCCAAGCCAAATTTTAACCATTCTAGCAAAAAAAAAAAAGTACTCCAACAGCCTCTCCAACCGGATAGCTAAGCCATCCAGCTGGCCAAAACCCTCCCTCCACTAGCTAAATTTGGCCACTCTATTTGGCTGGCCAATGGTGGGTCTCACACAGCCAAACTCCTCCATGGCTCCATCCCCACAGGGGCAACCAGGAGAGGCACGGGAGGAGGACGGACACGAGGACGAGCACGGCGACCGCCGGTCTTCTCTCGCCGCCGCACCAAGCCAATCGCCGGCGCCGGCCACCGCGCGGCGCCGCTCGACGCGGCCGCCGGCCTCCGCGCGGCGCCGCCCCCCGCCGCCTCTACTCGCCACGGCCCCCGGCCTCCGCGCGGCGCCGCGCCCACCGCCTCCGCTCGCTGCGGCCGCCGGCCTCCGCACGGCGCCGCCGCCGCTCACTGTTCTCCGCCGGAGAGGATGTAGTAGTCCAGCTGAGGGAGGAAGAAGTAGTACTAGAGAATGGGTTGGAAGAGGAGGAAGAATAGTAATAGAGACTGACATATGGGTCCCATTTGTAATAGACTTGTAATAGAAAGGGTAGATTGAGAGGTTGTTGAAGTGAACAACTAATTTGACTAGCCAAATTAGATGGAGAGTTGGCTATGTGGGTGTTTGGAGAGTTCGATTTGGAGAGACTGTTGGAGATGCTCTAAGGCCGCAAAGTTGCATTGCTGGGCAAATCTCCTTTGGCAGCGGTGAACTGGTGATTGACCGATCACTTGCAGACCGGTACTGCCGATTCGAACACTGCCAAGGAAGACTCACCCGGTAATGCATGTGTCCTGCTCATGCAAGCTTCTGGGTAAGATTTTCCATCTTTTGGTAGGGTTCAGCTGCTGCTTTGCTTGCTGCATTTCCGGGATCGCCTTCCGCGTGTATTTATTATAGATTGGTGTATAGGGGGTGCCGCGGTGGACGATGGAACGAAATCGGTATCTTTCGATTCGGTCCTTGTATATGTGTTTTGGACCCTGCTTTTCATTTGATGACTCGTTAATATAACTCATGTTTGTAACAGCTTTGCACTTGTGGCAGTAAAATCGACATTCATGCACGAATGATTCTCCTTGCGTATAAAGTAGCTCGAATTTAGGAAAGCTAGTGTCGCGTCTCACTCAGGCTGAAAGGCGAAGACGCCATTTTTGCCTGCGAAAACAGGGAAGGGAAAAGATCCTGCAGAATGTGCCCTCTCGCTGTAAGTTCCACGGCGTTCTAGGTAGTATTCCATTTCCACGGAGGATTTTATCTGTGTTAGACGTGTAGAACAGCCGAGTCGAATACCTAAGATGCCAACACTTCATTAATGCAATCTAACTTAGTGTAATACTGTACTGCTAGCTGCAGAATCAGCAGCAGCTGGCCGGGAGCTGAGGTTTCAACATGCACGCATGTAATTAAGCCTGAACTCTGAAGGTTCAGTAGAAAGAGGAGCTCGATGACTATAGCTAGGGGATCATTCCGGTCGGCCGGGGGCAGCACATTCCAGGGAAAATCCGGCGAAACACCTCCAGATCGCCAAGCTCCCCCGGAATAGTCTCTCCGCCGAGCATATGCCATCTCGGATCCATTTCCCTAAGGCTGCTAAATGGCTCACTCTTGCTAGGCTGCTAGCTATATATATGTCAGTTAATTTGGTCATGTGACAAGTATCAACTATAGTGGTAGCAGTGTAGCCCAGGCGCCGGCTGTGAATTACAGGGCAGTTCACCTTTGGCACAAGGGCAAGCAGTAGAAACCATGCGTGCTTGCTAGAGCTGGAAATGATGCTGGTAGCATTGCATGGTTCAGGGATCACAGATCTCGTGCCAAAGGAGAATTGCCCTGCGATTTTGTCTGCTCAGTACTGTCAGATTTGGCTGCTTATTTTCTCGCGGTATTACCAGCTTCTCTTGGCCTATAATGTTCGTGGAGGCTACGTTTGTCAGTACCGTGGTCTGTGGCTTGTTCAAGCAGTTTGGAGTAAGGATCATTGCATATCTCATATCTGCTTGCAAACGCTGGTTTTTCTCTCTTGTGCGTTTCTTTAGGTCTGCATAATGTCTTTTACTTGTTTCAGGCGTTGGTATGCTATCTTTAATTTAGTACTGTTCACAACCTTGTCGAATTATCTGCTCTGCAAAATTACAAAAACTTTATGAAAGTTTACTATAGAAATGCACTTCTATTGTTTGCAATTGCCACTGTTGTCGCATCTGCTTCGTTGGACTAGTACACATGCTTGCATCTCAACAATTGATTGTCTAGTCAACTAGTAGTATATACTTTACATACTTACAATAGGTTGTTTACATGTCATTCAAATGGTTACAAAAATATTAAAAAAACTTCAACAATAAATATTAATATGTGATAGATTACTTCATAAATATGCTAGGTAAAGTTTAACTTCTATATGTTACAACCAGCAAAACAAATTTGATTGTAAATATGTGTTAACTAGCTGTAGTTTAATTTTTTTTTGCAACTTGTAAATGTGAAATTTTAACTTGTATTTTTATAAAGTGACATATCACATATTAATACATCTTCTCAATTATTTTTTTTAATTTTTTACATATTTAAGTGGCATGCAAACAACATGAAATATGGACTATAGAGTTTCAAATCCACTCCCTACTTGCAACTCAAGCCACGTGTTTTCACATTTTGTTTGTGCTAAGTGTACCCTGATCCATGCTGCTAATTCTGTGCAAAGTGTTGGTTGCAACACTCCTATCACCTCAATTTCCGTGTCCTACGGAGTGAAACCGGTCACGAGTACTACGAATCTTTAGTCACAATCGAGCATCCTAGGAAATACTGTACTAGCATCATCAACCTGCCCTTTGGAAGAAAAATACCATCAGTACCACCAGCTCTGACAAATAGAGCTTGATTAGCTGTAGAACGTTTACTTGGGATTGTTAATTGCCTCGTGCAAGAGCCACTTGGTTCGTACTTCGTGATTTCTTTCTGATGAAGCAAATTAAACTAGCATGTGAGCACATTGGAAGAGGGAGTCAAACGATACGAATACGCGATTTGCTGTCAAGTGTTCGCTGCTGCAACACGCCAAACCACAAGAAAAGTTGAGACAAAGCATATATATATATATATATATATATATATATATATATATATATATATATGAATGACCATTAGGAGTACAGATCAACAGAAGCATAATAAAATTACATTTTATTTGATTCATCTGTCGTTGCAATTCATATATAACATGATGTTCCGTCGATCAGATCGTGAACAAAGACAGCCCTTCTATTGCAGACAATGCTCAGAATTTGGGTCTGACACGAAATCGTTAAGTGGAACTTTTTTCTGTAGTAATGAACAATTCAATGTTATCCATTTGCGCAACATGACAAGGACATAGGCAGAGTTTTCAGAGCAAAAAATGGAGTTCCAATCCTTCTGTGTTTCTTTTTTCCAATCTTTATTTATGTATCCATTGATGGTTCCAAAGGAGAAAACAAAAATCTTCAACCAAACCATTGACAAAGTGACTTGTCTCTCTCAATCCTTTCTCCAATCAACAGTGTGCAATAATAATATTGTACCGATTCTTTTCTGTATGCTACTGTAGAGAATAACCAAAATGAGGAGGGAAAAAAACTAACCGACAATTGGCAAGTGAACAAGAAGCCAAAAACTACAGGAGCTTGTCTGGTCTTATTGGAGGCCGGACCGGGCCCACCTGTCTGTGTCAGCATCATGTCATGGCCGTGCTCTCCGCCGGCTGCTCGATCTTAACCCCTCCTCCCATCTCCAGCCCGTCGCCGGCGCGCCGCCGGAACACCATGGCGCACTCCGGCAGCTCGCCGAGCCCCTCGAACAACGCCTCCTCCTCGCCCAGCCCCTCCCCGCCTAACCCGCCGACGTCGCCGAACTCGTCGGGGAGGAGCGCGGCCGTGCCGACGACGGCGCCGCCAAAGAACATCGGCTGATCGTACAGCTGCATCTCGTCGGCCGCGTCGATGTCGGAGGGCGAGGTCGACGTGGCTGGGACGGACACGACGTCGTAGAGCCACCGGAACTCGTCGCGCACCTCGATGGCCGCCGCGCCGCCGCCGCCACCGGTGGCAGGCCCGGCGGTGACGCCGTACTGGTGCGTTTCCTCGGGTTCCACTTCCACCACCGGCTCCGGCGGACTGCAGGCCTGCGCCTTGGGCTTCTGCGGCGCCGCCTGCCGGTTCTGCGCCCTGGGCACCGTGGCGGAGTGGTTGTGCTCGAAGGAGTAGGTGACGATCACCGTGTCCGGGTCGTTCCGGCTCCTCTCCACCTGCTTCCTCGCCGGGCACCCCTTCGAGCTGCTGCACCGGTAGTAAGCCCTGCTCATCACGAAGCCCCAAGCCTAGCTAGATCAGCACAAAAACCCCTCCAATTCATGGCAAAACTTACAAAAGAACTCGATCGATATTCGATGCCATGGCATCGATTCGTGTGTCGTGGTGTGTATTTTACCTTGGAAAGGGTGAGCCTTTGATGGGCTTCTGGCCGTACTTCCGCCACGCCCACGAGTCGGTCGGCGTGTTGCCCTCCCCGACGCCCTTCGGCCGCGGCCCGGTCACGTCGGCCAGCGGCACGGTCACCACCCGCTTCTGCGCCGACCGCCTCGACCTCCCGCTAGGCGACGCCGCCGCCCCAGCCGCCGACCGCTGAGCAGCTGCCGGTGACGGTGACACCGGCGACCCCGGGCAATCCGCCGCAGCGACGTCCTCCCCGCCCTTCATCTGCTCCCGCCCGCCGCCGCCGGACATCGTCGGCGACGACACCGCCGCCCCGTCGCTCCACTCGCCGTCCATATATATACACAAGAGCCGGCCGGCGGCGTGATCTGTCCGCCGGGAATGGATGGATCAAGGAGGCAGTTCTTGGATGGATGCCGTCACCAGCGCCAGCTACGACAAACGAGGCAAACGCCATGGGATATAAAGAAACTGGAGCTGAGGAGGCCGTGTCATGTGTCGTCGTGACGTTGTAGTAGCGGGAGCTCGGTTCGATCGGACGTGGGTTGTGGCCGCGCACGCTGCGTTTCGAAGGGGAGATTAAACAAACGGGAGAATATTACGAGCGTGTGACGGCGACGCCTCCCCAACTATCTCATGCATTGCCTGTATGATCAGCACTATACACCGTCTAATCTATCAAACATCAGCTGCTTGATTATTGCTTCCTCCCGTAGGCAAGTAGACGAGTAGTAGCACTAGTTTAATGTGGAGCAGAGAGTGTGTTCATATTTGCATAGGAGTGGTTGGCGAGGATCGAATAGTATACCTGTCACTGCCGTTTCGAAGAAGATAACTGCAGAAGGGAGTCACGGTTCTGGAATATCTGGATTCAAGGTACTAGTAAAATTTTCAGTCAACAGTCAAGATAGAATCATAGAATCAGTTATAAATAAATTTCTTGGTAATTCTGGGCTGGACTTGTTGTTCTTGGTTTCTTTTGCTAGCTTGGAGGAGAAACTAAGATGTTTGATTTGGATTTGTTAGGAGTGGCAAATGTGATGCATCCTAGCTAACATGTGGTTGGTTTTCTTTTGAAAATCGATAAATTATTCTGACTTTTGATGTTATTGGCCTGATCTCTGCATCTTGAACGCTGAAGGCTAGTTCAATGCCGGTGTCAAGTCAGAGATATTCCTGGGTAATTTCCTGATGAGATTGACAGTTCTAACTGCGTTCATCAAATCGTGGTGTCCCACACAGAATTATACTAGAAGCCGTACCGCTTCAAACTCGATCTGAACGCTGCTGGGCTAGCTAGAGACAGATTGTGCATTTGATCATCGTGTATATATAATGCGACTATATAATATTATTATCCTATGGTTGATCAGTTCAGTTATCGCGTCACCATCTTTTCAGTCTTGCTTTTCTTTAATCCTCGGATGTTCTCATCACCTCATGGGTCTTGACTTGTTCCCACTGCGGTCTCAATTATGGGGCATCACCATGTCATCATGCAGCGCTCTGGCCTCCATTGATGCACAAATTAAACTTCGTCGTTTTGACGAAGAGCTCAACCAACCAATTAAGTTATCTGGGAGATGTTGCTGCTAGTTCGTCATGGCCAGCCTCTCTTGGATACCAACGCGGAAACACAGCTGTTTGTTCTATAGAAAACGAGACTGCAAGAGATGATTCTGGCAAAGGCAATGACTGCATGCCTGACAACAGTTCACACACCGCAATCTGTGGCTGCAGGTAGCTTGCTTAGATCTATAATGTCGGAGGAATAGAAATTGAGGTCATCGGGACACAAACAATACATGCGAAGAAGTACAAGATCAACATCTTCAAGGTGCAGAAGCAAAGCATATCCAAACAAGGGCTTCATTTCTAAATCGTGTTGTCATGAACCTCTTCATCTTCGACCTTTTCAAGAAGCTCGTCCAAACCTGACAAACAACCTATTCATAGCAGTAGGGGGTTGCCAAGGTCCCCGGGGGTGCCCTAACCCGGTGCGGTGCTCTGGGGATGTAAGGCGTCCGAATATGATGGCCATCCAAAAGCGAAGCCTACCTATCTACGGGTCCCAGGCAAGGGTCTTAGCGCTCTTCGTGCCCTGGGCGGAGGCCCGAGCTTACCTCTTGTCCCGGGGCTCTCCATGGTGTGCACTGTCACACCAGGGAAAAGTTGATTGAGCCAGGGACTTGTTCAATCACTCCCTCATATTAATGACGATATGGCGCACGTCTTGCATCCATCCCTTCGAGAATGTGGGAGCACGGGGGTGCCTATGCAGGGCGTAATCCTAGCAGGCCCACGATCAGTGGGGAGAGGTGCCCTTTTTTATTATCGGCGCACTCCCCCCATCAACCGACGGGGAAACATTCTCCCTCATTTGGATCGAAAGACTTTAACAAGACTCATCATGACTCATTTAGTGGTGTAAGGCTCCAGTTCAAGACTCGGGTAACAACATTGTGGACTCCTCTTAAACTATAAAAGGAGGATCCAGGCAACAGATAGAGGATTCTGATTCCCAGCAACTAGCATACTAACAAAGTTTCCATTGTAATTCATCCTCAATCATCCATAATCCACAAAGAATAGGGTAGTACACATCCATGCGGTCCGAATTTGTATAACCCCCCGCGTTCATTACTCTTGCGATTTGGACCCATACTCGAACGACCCCTGACCGAATCTCTAGGGGGAGTATACACTACCTACTAGAGGGGTTTCACACTTTAACATATACGCTCTCAACTGCTCAACATTTGGATTTTTAACGCGAGACTTAAGTTCAACCCATTGTCCATCATAGGAAGTTGGAGCTGCTTGATCATGGCAACAATTCTGGTGACGGTGATACGCCCGTTGTGGAGTCGGAGCTATTGTGTCGCTAGGCAGCAGGCTCGATAACGATGGCATATATTTGCGAAGTTGGAGCTACTGGGTTGTTCTTGTATCAAGCTTGGCAACGATGCTCTATATTAGACTCCACCGTTTGTTTAGTTAGCAGTGGAATAGTGTTGTAAGTTGTGTGTGTGGTGTTGTTATTCAACCGGTCGTAGGTAGTTCTTTTTTCTTTTTTTTATAACTTGTCTGAGTTTTTATTCTACTTATTAAAATATACTTGCTATTTTTTCTGCATGTTTAGTTAAAAAAACTAGCTGGGCCTGCGCAATTGCGCGGCTAGTATCCATATAAAATTATCTATTTTTAATACGATTTTATTTAAAATTTACTAAATAGTTATCTCGTTATTTTAAGACTTTTAAAGACCAAACCATATCATCCCCGTGTTTAATTTTATAGTTTTTAAAAGTCACCCTATTCCTTATCTGTTTGCTTGATCTATTACTATTTATATTCATTCTCCTTGGAAACTTTAAAATTTTGATCTTATAGTTTTTAGAGTTTATTGTCTCATTGAGTTTCGTTTTTATAATTTTTAGAAGTCCCATCAAACACTGCCACTCTATTCCTCTACCGCCCATCCGCTGCCTCCTCTCTTTATTATTACTGGGATTTTTAAAATCGAACATAATTATCGTTTGGGTTCATTTTTTACTTTTTAGAAATCTCATCAAACCATTAGCGGTTTTGCCACTGTACTCTTCCACGGCTCGCCCGCTACCTCCTCTCTTTATTGTTATTGAGATTTTAAAATCAAACATTATTATCATTGTTTTATTACTTTTTAGAAGTCCTAAACCTTTAAAAATAGGACCTAGTAGTTTTTAGAGTTTATTATCTCGTTGAGTTTCATTTTTATAATTTTTAGAAGTCTCATCAAACGCTGCCACTATACTCTTCTACGGTCTGTCTGCTGCCTCATCTCTTTATTGTCATTGGAATTTTAAAAATCGAGTTTGGGTTCTTTTTTTTTTTACTTTCTAGAAATCCCACCAAACCATTAGCGGCTTTGCCAGTGTACTCTTCTATGGCTCGCATGCTCCCTCCTCTCTTTATTGTTATTGAGATTTTAAAATCGAACATTATTATTATTGGGTTTTTTTTACTTACTTTTTAGAAGTCCCGAGCCTTTAAAAATTGGACCTCGTAGTTTAGAGTTTATTGTTTTGTTAGATTTCATTTTTATAATATTTAGAAGTCTCATCAAACGCTGTCACTATACGCTATGTACCATTGTTTAGTACCGAAGATGCAATTGTATTACATGTATTTATGTTATCAATCTTCACCGTTTTAATTTGGTTCTACCACAGTCTAACGGCTTGGATTTTATTCTTCGATTAACGTGATAGTTTATAATTAAAATAGTCTTCACCCATTGCAACGCACGGGTATTTTTTCTAGTATAATAATACTTCTGAGTTTCTTTTTTCACTTAACAAAAACTAGCATGGCGGCCCGCGCAGATTGCGCGGCTAGCATCATTATATTTTCTCTCATATAATAGCATATATGTTCTCTCATTATATTATTCAAATATATTAAAATGACAATATAATTTTAAATTTTGCAATAACTTTAGAAAACTACTAATGTGTAATATTCATTTTATATTTTATATACGTGTTAGTTATTAATTATTTTTAATATCAAATTTTAGTTATTTATAAATTATATATATTTCTATATGAACTCTAGACTCGTCTTTTAATATTTCTTTTTTTTAATTCCAATTTTTCTGTAAATTGTATTTCTATATAAACTCTATGCTCTTCTTCCAATATTATTTATTTTTATTTCTGAATTTTTATTATTTCTAATTGTATTTCTATGTGGACTCTAAACTCATCTTTCAATTTTCTTTAATTTTTAATTTCGAATTTCAGTTACTTCTAAACTGTATTCCTATATTAACTTTAAACTCTTATTCCCATGTTTTTCTTAATTTTGACTTTTAGTTATTTGTAAATCATATTTTTATACGGACTCTAAACTCTACTTTTAATTTTATTATGTTTATTCTAAATTTTAGTTAGTTTTAAATTCCAATATGGACTCTATACTCTACTTCTAATATTCCTTATTTTTAATTCCGAATTTCAGTTATTTCCTAATTGTATTTCTATATGGACTCTATACTCTAATTCTTATTTCCTTATTTTTAATTCCGAATTTCAGTTATTTCCTAATTGTATTTCTATATGGACTCTATACTCTACTTCTAATATTCCTTATTTTTAATTCCGAATTTCAGTTATTTCCTAATTGTATTTCTATATAGACTCTAGTCTCCTCTTCTAATATTTCTTATTTTTAATTCCGAATTTCAGTTATTTCCTAATTGTATTTCTATATGAACTCTAGTCTCCTCTTCTAATATTCCTTATTTTTTAATTCTAAATTTCAACTATTTCTAAATTGTATTTCTATATGGACTCTAGTCTCCTCTTCTAATATTCCTTATTTTTTAATTCCGAATTTCAGCTATTTCTAAATTGTATTTCTATATGGACTATGCTTTTTCTTTTTCTCTGATTAATGTGAGAAATTCTAGGCCATGAGAGCGAGCGTGGATGCTCTTTTTTCTATTCTTTTAATAATATAATAGATTCTAGCATGAAAAAAGTTACATAACTCTTAAAATTTCTACTATTAGAAACCATATATAAATGCTATGTTTACTAATAGAAAAAATTCCTAACAACACAATCACCTTGAAAGATTGAATGGCAACATATACTAACCATATATGTAGTTGTATGAGCGTTTGCTTGTGAATTCAGGTTTTTTTTGCTCAGTTGGTTGCTTTAAGGATAGCACGATCCATTAATTAAGTCCATGTCCGTTTCACACGTTAAACAGCCCCATTTGAAAGGAGTCCGGATCCAATACAAAGTTGAATTGTATGGTTATACGTCTAGTATTTGCCCGTGTGGACTCCTAATAGGATTTATGTAATTTTTTTCTCTACGTATATATTCCATCAATCTCAGCCATTAAAATCTAGACGTATCAAGATCTAACGGCTAATATTTTTCTTTGATTAATGTGGGATTTTTTAGCATCTACATCGAACGTTGTGCCTTCTTTTCGAGCTGTTTTAATAATAGAATAGAATAGATAGATAGATAGATAGTAGATAGATCTAGAGTTCATTTGTTCATGTCGACTGTCAAGAGGGAAACTTTATGGGCTCGGCTAGGCCCAAAGGTTCTATGCACGGCCCAACATGTGGACAGGGGCCGTTCGGTAGAGGTGGAGTAGAGTCTGACATATCCGGTATATATTTTCCTCAGAAAAATAATCTGGGATTTGGGTTTGAAGAATTTGAAATTTTGAATGTGACACCTATGGCCATGGTCGAACTGTCCAGAAATTCACTTTTGGTTGATTAAGAAAACGATTTTGCTATATCTCACTCGAAAGATTTTTTCTTATCTCTCACTCGATTTTCTCACTAAAATTTACAGTGCATTTTCTTTATGAAACTTACACTGTAACTTTTGTAAGTTACACTGTAATTTTTGAATCTTCACATGTAAATTTTAAATTTTGTATTGGATTTGGTCTTTTTCTTGAGGATATGGTAATTTAATGTTCATTATGGTGTTTCTTAATTGCTTTTTGCTTTTTATTATATCTATCGGATTTTAATACAAAGATTAAAAATCTGTGTGATACGATTATAAAAATCTTTCGAAAGATGTATAGGTACTCCCTTAAGAAAAACATTTTTGTTTGGACATGGGCCCGTGGACGACAGCAAGGTTGGACGTGGGCCCGAACTGCAGTGACACACGGCCCAGAGGATTCGTGGCCTCTCAAACCTTATTGGAGAAATCTCCTCAACAAGCTCCGTCTCTGCCACACCCACACTGTGCCGCAACGCCTCACGAACTCCGCGCGCTTCCCCTCCTCGCCGCCGCCGCCGCGGCGTGGGAGAATGAAGGCCATCGGTAGCGGCGGCGAGTGGTGGTGGAACCTCCCGTCCCTCCGCCGCAAGCCCGACCGGCGCCGCCGCGGCCGGCGGAACACGGACCCGCGCGGCCGGCGCCGCGGTCCCCCACCGGAGCCGCTGTCGTCGTCGTCGTCGGAGTCCATCGGCCAAAGCCGCGGCTGGCCCATCGACTTCCCGTTCACGCAGGCCGTGACCGCCGCCTCTCTCACGCTTACGGGTGACACCATCGCGCAGGTCCGCCAGCGCATCGTCGACCGCCGCCTCCGCGGCCCCGAACCAGACAGCAAGGTCACACTCCTTTTGTTCTAAACCCTAACATTTACTCTTCTTTTTGAAACAGCAATAGGTATGGAATTATGCTTTTCTCGAAACTCAGCTCGGGCTCGCTACTGGTGCTAGGGTCGTACAAATAGAAATCGGCTGAAATTAAACTAGGTTACCAGGAAGAGTTGCTAAGTTGATGAAATTCGACTTAAATGTTGAGTCCAAACCATTGCTTTGTGTACATTAGCTCTTCCTCGCAGTACATTGGGCAATTTGTGATATTGGACGCTTTGATGGTTGCTAGACATGGGTTGTGTTTAGTTCACACCAAAATTGGAAGTTTGGTTGAAATTGGAACGATGTGACGGAAAAGTTGGAAGTTTGTGTGTGTAGGAAAGTTTGGATGTGATGGAAAAGTTGGAAGTTTGAAGAATTATTTTGGAACTAAACACGGCGATGGTGTTTCACGTTGTGAATTCTGACATCTGTAGAGGTCCTCCTTTCAGGGTTTGGTACCGGACTTGTTGATGAGCCATGATTGGCTACGCGCGCTTCGTATGGCTTCATATGGATTTCTTCTTTATGGTCCGGGATCGCACGCATGGTACCAGTTCCTTGATCAGTGTATGCCGAAGCCAACATTTGCAAATCTATCCACTAAGGTGTGCTTTGCTTCCTCCATGTAACATGTTACGCTGGAGCATTTTGTTTCACAATTGACCAGTTTCCATTTTTGTTTGCTGTTTTCCCAGGTCATACTGAACCAGATTGCGCTTGGTCCTTGTGTTATTGGTGTAATTTTTGCCTGGAATAACTTATGGATAGGGAAACTGTCAGAACTTCCATCTAAATATCGGAATGATGCCCTTCCTACACTTCTTTTTGGTAAGCGTTCTGCCCGAATACACTGTTAAAGAAGCACCTGCATAAAGATAACTGATATTACGGCATTGTTCACTTTGTTGTGAAATTGCAGGGTTTAGATTTTGGATTCCTGTATCGATCATTAACTTTTGGTATAGTCCCAAACTTAAAACTTCTCTCTCTCTTTTCTTGGCATAGTTGGCTCATCTTTGTTGTACTTGTCAATGTTCTATTGAATCTAATTTAATTGCTACTCACTCTAGTAAAAAATATCCTAACATCAAATACTTTTGACTGGAGGGAGTACTACTTCCATCTCATCAAAGTAGCTGGTTCTCATCCAAGTATTTGATTTCTCTACCAGGATGGTTCCTTTGTCTGCTCGTGTTGCCTTCATGTCCTCTTGTGCCATTTTTTGGAACTTCTACCTGTCAACCACTATGAGCAAGTGAAACCTCTAGTATACCTTCAGGTTGGTCTTGGTACATTCTATATTTTGTTTGACTTGGTGCACAGTAGCTGCAATTTAAGTTCTGCAAATTTGGATGAACCTATTTGTTGCCAGACTGACAGCACTTAATGCACAATTGCATTCCTTTTTCTGTAACTTTTGCTGAACAATACGATAATGTTGTAGGGCATGTACAAGCCTCATTTGTCATGATACATGTGGTTCCGTAGCAAATGTTTTGCTTGGGTTATTGTGGGACTAAATGAACTGCTACGGATGAGGGTTTGAAGGAGCTAATTTTTGCTCTGGTGGTAGAGTACATGGTAGAGTCACCTCACCTCCTGTGGACAATTCTGTCGCCTGCCTCGTCATTGACGGAATTCTGGTAGTGGTCTCGAGGACAAAGTCGATGGAGAAAGAAATTGTGTTTCTCTAAACATGTGTGAGCCATCTACCATCTACCTCTAATTTGATAGGAAAGATGCTTGTAATTTTGATCATTTGTTCAATAAGCTAAACTTGTATGCAAGTACATACCGATACCCAGACTCTGAATAGAAGCACATTATTCAGATGGAGCAATTTTCACTTGTATTCCTTGCGTTTGGTTTTGAAGTTTTGAACTCAGCTGCATAGAGGCTTTTTTTTAAGGATACTAGGGGGACACCGGACACGGACACATGCCAGTTTGATAGCACCACTGAAAAAAGGGGGATTTGGGCGAATATCACTGGCACGCACAAACGCCTAGCCCGTAGGATTTTGAATAGGTGACTCCTGCGAGAATATTTTGTTTGTTTCTCATAGTTGCCTCCGTAATTGAACAGCGAAAGCATCGAAACATTATATTCAGTACAAAAGACAAGACAGTGTGTGCAGTGAACTGTATAGATTGTAGGCCAAATTAACTTTATTAGCATGGCTTCCAGGTACAGGTTTAGCTGCCCTTCAAAATAATTACAAAGAATATTTGACATAAAAGAATTGCTATGCCATTTCTATCATTTTTTACGATGTCAAACAATATACAGACTAGCGAATAACCTACAAACTGACACAGTTATGGCCTACCAAGGTACAGAGTGAATAAATTACGGATGCTGAAGTTTGCTTGTAAAATCTACCACTTCTAACGTTTCTATCTCGGTGATTTTGTGGAAATGCATCTTCCGCACAAGATAAGCCTTGATACAGCTCGTGACCTTCGAGACCTGACCCTCAACGAAGATAGCTGTAGAGAGATGATTCAATGAGTAGCCAACGAGACAAACAACCATGTAGAAACATAAGAACCGTAATTTAATCAGGATTCAAATACTCTTCAGAAACATAAGAACCGTAATTTAAGCAGGATTCAAATACTCTTCAGAAACATAAACATAAGAACTGTAATTTAAGCAGGACTCACATACTCTTCCACCAATCTATCACACGCGCACACACCCTTTGTGGTGAACAACATTCCTGTGTAATGTGTTCAACTATCCTATATTCTCCCCATTATAAAACAAGAGCACCATAGAATGTTCACTTCAAAATCTACGGTCATATCAGTCAGATGAAAAAAAAAAACAAAAGTAAGCAAGTTATTTTGATTTTCCGTGTAGTCTATCGTGAATGCAATGGGACATTTTTTTTTACTTTCCATTTTGATTTCCAATTAACACAGTATGCTCATCTCCAAAAAAAAAGGGCATTATTAAACTCCACGTGGTCAGTTCAAAAGGGGGCTTACCATAGCTTTTGATCTCTAGAAATCATCTATTGAGAACACAAACTGCCCATGGCTCATCTCTATAATTCCACATGCACAAATGACTTTTATTTAGACCAGTACCATATGCTAACGAGTAGTCATAAGGGAAATACTAGAACAAGTTGATGTTCCACGTTATATTCATCAGAACCCAGTAGCATAAAATTCGTGAGGACACAATTCACGACAGCACAAACAGACATATTACCTTTCGTCGAGTCCTTGAAGTTCTCCAACAAAGTATACTCCTTGATCTAGGTTCCAATCTCCTGTGCACAAATAAGCAAGCCGAATTAGAAATATGTAACGTAGTAGTAATTCTGATTGGGCGGGTGTGTTGTCAAAAAGGTAGCGTCTTAATGGCTTAATGTTCACACAGCATAAGTAGTACTGACTGCAATGCCTAATACTCTTGTATATCAAGTTATTACTAGTGAGCATATGTAGTTACTTGTGCTGTTTTTCCCCTACAATGCAATGGTGTAAAGGACCGTCTTTTGTAACATTTTTTTTCTTTTGTAATAAAATGCTGAAGTATTACACCCTATATTTTAGACAGTTGGAGAGCATGAATTGATCATACGATAACATTACTTACAAATTCTCTTGTTCCAGTTTTTCTGCAATTGACAAAGCTTTTTGTCTAGACCAGCCTCCTCGTTGAGAACAAGCTTCTGCCTTGCCAATAACATGAGCAAGAGATACCTTTCCTTTGACTATGCTGTTCTGTCGACGCTGTTTATTCCCATTTCTTCCTTGATTAGCCTTGCTATTTGGTGATGCCAAAGATTCTTCTTCCCATACATTGTCCTTTCTTCTTTGATTTACATTATGCACATCATTATTTGTTTCGTCATGCCAATGCATGTGTGAAGGCCCAACTTCAATGATTTCTCCTTCTGTCAATATATGAGGATCAGATTGCATCCATGTGGTCTTACTAGAGCTTGCTCTGTCTTTTTTAAGCCTCCTACGGAGATTCTCACCTCCAGAAGAGAGTGGACTATGTTTAGTGAAAGACCTCCTTAATGTCGTGTTGGAAGACTCGTTCTCCCCGTGAGAAAATACAGCTGGAGCATGACTGGCCCTCACATCATTCTTTGATTCATATCGAATTTCAAGAATTATGGCAGAACGCAGAACAGACTCAAATGCCTGCAGGATTTGTCCTCGGTAGTTTTCAGCTTTGGACTTGTTGACACGTGAGCTGAATATCAGCTGCACTGTTGGTGCTGTAGGAATAAAGAATCTAACGTCAGAAAAAAAAAAGTTTGAAAGATAGCTTAGCCATGCTTTAACTCAAATATATCCTAAGAAAAGACAATATGAAGGTGGCCATGACTTACTAAATGAAGGTGCCACTGGCATATTTGTGCTATATAAATAAGATTTCACACTAAAACTAAAACAACTAGAAGCTATAATTACTCTATAGATCACTATTTCCGTTCGAATGCTTAGACATACAAAAATATTCTGATGTGTGGATTATATAATATAAAAGGATGTTATCAACCCAATAACAAAAGTTTTGACTTTATCGAGAGGAAATATTAAATTAATTACCCTAGATGCCTTTTATTATGCATGAATACTGCAACTGACTTCACTTCAACAAACTGACAAGAATTATCTTAAATAACCAATACTAAAACATAAACAGCTGGCTTACTACCTGCTTACCATATTTACACAGTACTGCATTAGATTTCTCTATCTCATTATCTCAGTTTTGTAAGTACTAAATCAATAGTATATCATTATCAAGAGCAACAGGAAAACCAATCTCAGCTAACAAACTTACGACACGATGTACTCTTAAAAACTTAACTTCAAGCCAGGCAGAGAATCTTACCTGTGCCTAGGCTGACGGAGCTTAGCCTTCCCTCTTTAGCCATAATTTTCCTCAGTGTATCTGACTGAATACTCTCAAGCACAGCATGCCAAATCAGTTCATTTTCGATTTTACTATTTCTAGATTGTTCATTTGCTCTGGGAGCACTGGTTGATAACAAATGGCTATTTGATGTATGTTCAACAGGTCTCCTTTCCCTATAAGAAGTGCTTGCCATGTTACCGTTATGCTCGAGAGCCGAGTGTATTGCCATATCCCTATCGGGAAAGGAACCGGCTAACACACCATGGTTTAAACTCGTACTCGATGAACTTGGCAGCACATACTGTTTGTCAGGAGCAAGCTGAAGCAGAGCAGCTGTAAGCCAGGTTGTCTTGTCATTAGAGACCCTCAACTGCTTTTCAGCTTCAGATAGTGTTTTCAAAGCCTGGCGTAGTTTTTCCATGTCATCTTTGGACACTGAAATTAGTACACCAATACAATGATTATGTGAATGCAAATATTTACTGTAAGAGAACAAGGCAAAACTAGATAAGTAACTTGACACTCATATGCAGGATGAAAAAAAAGCAAATTTATATTGACCTATACACTAGTTTTAATGAAAATGTTGCTTACAGGTTGGACGTTTGAAGAATTTTCTCCGTAGTCTTTCTCGTGTGAATGTATAAGAACCAGCAAGGATGTCCGTAATTATAGTGGCAAGTTGAGACATCAATGCCAAAGGATCGACCCCAGTTTCTGTAATGTCTCTTAGAGTCTTTACTGTATTTACAGTGTCAGCAGAAAGTGCCAAATCAAGCAAATCTACCAGTTTATCATCAGACACCAGACCAACCTGTTAAAATGGACAAAAGAATTAACGGTTTATTATTGCGAAAAATAGAATTGCAAATGAAAGCATGGAGTGACAACTAATTCTTTAGTTAGGGTCCTTTTTTAGGGTGGAGACTTAGGCAGGTACACTCCTAGCAAGTAGCAATACATGGAAATACATGTTTAGTGAAAAAGCAAGGAAAGTACCAAGTTTATACCAAATGGATAAGGTTCAATGCACACTGACTATTCTAACTGTTCCGCGAGGCTCTGCTTATTAGACTATATGTGGCAGCCGAGTTTGCATACTACATATTTAATGCAACAACTATCAGACAAAACTAGACCATTTCAGAGAACTACACATTTGGTTGCATTCTCCTTAAATGTGTCATTTTGTGAAACGTTTGCAACTGAAAGTGTTGTTTAGTGCACCTACTTAAAAAGGCAGCTCTTTTATAGTTTTTTGTGCATCAAAGGTGTAGTTTTGTGAAATTCGCTATTTAATCAACTAAATTACACAAAACTAAATGTCTAGCCCCGGCCCCCTAGCCAACATAATTAGCTAATATTTTCTATTCATGCCCAGATGGGGTAATACGATATTGACAGCAGATACAGAAGTATAATTTGGTTTTCCAAAAAAAAAAAAAGCAGAAAGGGAGTAATATTAAGCTTGAGAGATATCTTACAAGTTCTTGGACAAGAGATAAGGAAATTCTCTGCCCCAGCAAACTCAGCTGATCAAGAGTCATCTCAGCATCCCTCAATGATCCATCTGAACGGGATGCAATTAACTTCAGTGCATCCCTATCAACATCTAAACTTTCGCTGGTCGAAATCCATTGCAAAGTGTTAACAATGTCGCACTCCTTCAACTTGGGAAAGAAGAACTTCTGACATCTCGATAGGATTATATGAGGAAGGTCGAGGTTGGGACTGACGAGGATGAACACCACGCGGCGGGGCGCCCGGTCCACCACTTTCGAGATTAAGCTCCAAGTGTCGGCTGGCAGCGTATCGCAGTCATCAAATATAAACACCCTGTAGTGCGAAGGCGCCGGCGAAAGCATGACGTTGTCGAGGACATCAACGATGCCGTCCATGTCGATGTTGCCGACGGGGCCAATCTCCATCACGCTCCTGCTCTTGCCGAGATTGTGCGCG